CCCCCCCCCCCCCCGTGACTGCATCGCACCCAACTCCACTCCACTCCACCAAGAAAACAACCACACACAAATACCGAAAAATGCTCGCCCGATCCGCTTTCCGCACTGCTGCTACCCGTACCGTTGCCCGTAACGTCCGCGGCAACGCTTCCTCTACCTCCTCTGGCGCCGAGTTCTTGTCTGAGCGCGCGGCTGTTGAGAAGCACTCTGGGGAGACTGCTGGTACGTCATGACAACTTCGCACCATTCGTCCGTTCTGTGGGTTAGATGCTAATTGCGTGCCGCTTAGACTTGTGGAGGAAGATTACCTACTAGTACGTCGCGAAGTTGGTGGTGTGTCGTGTGATGGGGATACTGATCTAGGAATGATTCTAACAGCATTGCTTTCCCCCTCATCATTGTCGGTGCCGTAAACGCCAAGAACCTCTACGATGAGCACAACGAGCACATGGCCCACGTCGACATCACTGAGCAGCCCCAGTACGCTTACTTGAACATCCGCACCAAGAACTTCCCCTGGTACGTATTGCCCCCAAACGAGGGTGTGGCTTTGTGGAGTAGGGTGCTGATGATAGGGATAGGGGCGATGGTGACAAGACTGCGTTCTGGAACGACAAGGTCAACTACCACCCTCAGGATTAAGTGTTGGGTTCTATGCAATGAACTTGATTGGATGGTGATGATGGGGTTGTACGCAACGAAGTTGAGCATACGGGGAAGAGATGAGAATACTAATGCACATTTTACACTATACGTTCGTGTGTCGATTTGTTGCTTGTATGCGTGATGAGTGCACTTTTGGGACCAACGACATAAAACAAAGCATTACCGACCAACCGACGGCCCGTACAACAACGAAAGTGCCTCACAGTCAGCTTGGAGGGCACATTACTCGGACAGTGTCATCTGGACTCAAGACATAGCTTCCCTCGGCTCGATCTCGCGCCGGTGCCCGCAGACGACCCTTTGCAATCATGGGCCGCTTTGGCCACCATTGACCCTACAAACGTATCATCTGTAGAATGATCCATTCAAGTAAAAATACCGACCTATCAAACGACGAGAATTCAACCCACGGACCCATAGCTACCCCTGCGCCAGCTTGCTTGGCGGGTCGATCCGCCTCCATACAAAAATAAGGTTTACTTCGGCGCCGGGCTTAGAAAAGTCAACACCAACAACAGTGACGGCGAACACACCCGTTGCACCCCAGTCATGTCACGAAAAACCGTTCTTGTTGGCTTGGCCGTACTGGCAGCTGCCGCTACAGTCCATGCGACGACGTATATGGACGCTCTGGAGGACCCTGTCGCACACGTACGTGTCACGCAAGCCGTGTTGGGGCAGCCACCTTTATCTTCAAGTGCTGACATGCTTTGAAGAAACTACGTGATTTCGAAGATCCGAGAGCACCACGTCCTCAATCTGAAATTCCCTATGTTGCCGACGTCGACGCCGGTTTAAGCGACCCAACACGCTCTTTCGCATTCTCTCTGTTCATGATTATCGCGTCAGAGATTGGTGATAAGACTTTCCTTATCGCTGCCCTCCTCGCAATGAAACACCCCCGAATGACCGTCTTCGCTGGTGCTTTCGCATCTTTGTTGGTTATGTCCGTTCTCAGCGCTGTACTCGGGCACGCCGTCCCGACGCTCATCCCGAAAAAGTACACCGCCATCCTCGCCGCTGGCTTATTCCTCGTCTTCGGTGTCAAGATGCTTTTCGAAGGTCTCGCGATGGAGAAGGGAAACGCGGGCGTTATGGAAGAGATGAAGGAAGTCGAGGAAGAGCTCGAGGCGAGTGAGGCGGGACATGAGATGGAGATGCTTGAGGAGGGTAGGGCGGCTGGGAATGGACAGGGGAAGTTTGCGAGGACTACGCGTTCACCTACTGAGAGTGAGGATGAGGAGTCCGGGCCTTCGCGTCGGTCGGCGAAGAGTGGTGTTTCGGTGCAGGGTGCCATTGATGGTGTTCAGAACCTTGCTGGTCTCGTATTCTCGCCAATCTTCGTTCAGGCTTTCATCATGACTTTCCTTGGTGAGTGGGGTGACAGGTCGCAGATTGCCACGATCGCCATGGCTGCCGGTCAAGACTACTGGTGGGTCATCCTCGGTACCATTACCGGTCACGGTATGTGTACCACCGTCGCCGTCATCGGTGGCAGAATGTTGGCGAGCAAGATCAGTGTGAGGAACGTTACGTTGGGTGGAGCAATTTTGTTCATCCTGTTTGGGTTCATTTACCTTTACGAAGCATTGGCGCAGTGAAGCTGTTGTGCTGGGATACCACAGGTCATAGTCATAGTTATAGATTGGCGTAGATCATAGTCTTTTCTTCTAAGCATTACACCTCAATCATCTGACCGTCCTCCTCGTCGGACTCTTCGACGATGTGGGCTTCCTGCTCTTCACCCTCGTTGGTCTCCTCTCTCATCAAGATATCGACTACCCGCTCACATGCTGCCTGGACCTCTTCCTTCTCGACGGCCTTGTGCATTTCCCTGATGATCGGGTACACCTTTCTCGCTCTCAACAAATCGCGTGCTGGCCGTGTAGTGGTAAGAAGAAGCAATGCATCAAGCAAAGCAACCATGACTCCGTCATCCGACTCACGCCTCTTGTCGTCGCCAAGGAGCTGACACTCATCAGGCATGCCATCCATATCCTCGTCATCGTACTCCTCTGGACCCATCAACGGCAGAAGTATAAACGGCAAGATATCGACACCGTTCGCAGCCTCATCCGCCAACAAGCCCATATGCATCGAAGTGTCGAAACAGCAGTTCTTGATAGTTGATGCGACACCCGTTCGTCGGATTAGGGAACCGTGAGTGGTGAACACGACGACCTTTGAGAGAGGGAGGACACCATCGTACTCTTGCTTCTCCAAGAAGTACTTTCGTCCTTGAGGAAAACGGGTCATATCCGAGAAGAAGTTCCCCAAAAAGTCGTAGTTCGCCCACTGGTTCAACTTCTTCTCCGCACCCTTCACAAACACATCCATAAGCTGATCCATCGCCTTGGTCGACGACGAGACACCCTCGACGGGGCTCATTGTCACTTCCATAATCTTCAAGATGTCGTCGCTTTTTGCCATGTTACTCAACAACATGCAAAACATATCCGCCAACCCCTGTGCCCTACTCGTAATAAACCCCATCAATAACTTCAAGAACCCCTCGTCGATCAACATGCTCCTCACCAACGGATCCGTACTCAAATTCACCAAACACGTAAGTGAATCGTGCGCGGTCTTCCGACTCAACTGATCCGGCCGTAACGCATTACAAATGAGGACTTTCAGATCTTTGATGGGACGGAAAGAGTCATTACGGAAGATTCCGTTCTGGGGGTGAGAGGAGGCGGAGAATCCAACGAGATGTTGAGCTGCGACGGCGCGGATTTGGGGGTTTTCGTGGTGGAGAAACTCGACGAGCTCGATGAGTTCTGTTGGGAAGGACATTTTGTAAGATCAACCGTGACCGCTCTGGTGCTGAGGTTGATTCGAGGTTCGAGGGGATGCTGGGTGTGCGATGATGTCTGTTTCGAGATTTTTGTGCGCCTGCTGCCAAATTTAGAACACTGCGGAAGTGTGGTTCGGGAAGCTGACAAACTGCCGAAATCCTGAACACCTGGGATGCACGAGCGAGGTCTGCAAATCTGCGCTGTTCTCCACCCGTCGCGGAAATCGGTGCAAATCACTGAAAAATGAGTTTGGCCGCACAAATCAAGCTCGAGCTAACCTCCGAGCTCGAACCTCTCGAAAAAGAAAAATGTCCTCAACAGATAAAATATCAACACAGGCCTACCTAGTTTGAAATCATTCACTTCGTCTGATGACTCTGATGACGACGATGAAGACAACTGGTTCGATTACTACGACGTGGACCTTGGTCGAGAAGTATCTGTGCAGTCCATCATCTACATATCACAGGCATCCCGTTGTCGCAAAGAAGCATGCGGTGACTTGTTTGGCAGAAAGTTGTTCTCATATCAGGAATCGCAGAGACGTGCGCAGAGCAGGTGGGAAGCCCTTCTACTGGCTTTGCTCAAAGCTAGCCTCGGATATAATCCCATACCACCTGACTTTGTTTGTACATATATCTCCCCTCAGAAGCAGATCTCCGTCAAGTGCGTCGGATTTGAGAGTTCGTCATTCTCATCACTGCTTTATCTCAACGTCTGCTCACTTCCATGTTAGCCTTTGAGAGAAAGACCATTCTGGTATGCGCATGCCCCCAATTGCTGGCGACACTTTTCAATGACGGGTATTTTCCTGCCACGCCGTACTTGCCCCACACCACCCTTTCGGATCCAGACCTTTGAGTTGCTACAATCCGTTATTCGATCAGGAACCTTTCCCGACATGCATAGTGCAGAAGACATCGTTCCTTTTTCCGTCAACACCTGCAGCGAGAGGTCCCTAATTTTTACAAACAGTTCCTGGCTGCCCATTATCAATGGCTACGCCTGCATGCCATGGTGTCCAAGTCGTACGGATCAATCTGCAAGTCCGGGCAAAGCTTGAAGGACTTTCAAGTTGAGTTGCGCGGCCCAGCTGTGGCTGCACCATGCTGTTACTACAGTCGGCCGGGGCTCTCAATTCTGCCTCGAGGTCACGTATCTCTTGACGCTTGCTTTGCACAGCACCGATTAAATCATGCCGGCTGTAATGCGGTCGAGCCGAGAAGGAATACTGCAAGTACTTCGGGACGAGATCTGACGAGTTAGACGAGGTGTGACGAGATGACCGAATTACTTATTCGAATAGAGAGACGAATTTATTGAGTTAACCAGTGAAGCTCTAAAGGAAGGCTTAGGGCCTTTCCTTATATACGGTTTTCTGGACGAGGGTCTAGACTCTTTCTCGGTGACGTTCCACATTTAGTTAACTCGGTGGCCCCGAGAACAAGATCTTGAACGAGAGGAGTGAAGATAAGATGAGCCATGATAGGACCCGAGACAAATCAAGTCTCGGGTTGATCGCGAAACTCGAAGTAGTTCTTTTCTCGGATTGATCGCGAAACTCGAAGTAGTTCTTTTCTCGGGTTGTTGCGAAACTCGAAGTAGCTCTTTGGTTCATGACAACCCGAGACAAATCGAGTCTCGGGTTGATTGCAAAACTCGAAGTAGTTCTTCGGTTCATGACACCGGCAGGGGGTCTCGGGGTAACATCGCCTATCCTATGTTCATATCAAAGCTCAGCACTGATGAACTAACTGGGGACATCCAACCGAGAACCTAGAAACACGGGGACTGTGATGAGCGTTTCTAGGCTGCAAACTCCAAGCCTGTTCAGGATGCTTTTGATGATACAGGGATTGTTGCAACTGTTTGTTGACATGACAGACCTCTTGCCTTCATGAACATGCACAAAACTGGAGAGGAGTACATCTATGTTCGCAAACTACTGGAGGCTGTGATAGAGCGCATTGATTCGCCAGAGTGTACGTAATGTACGATATTGCTTGCTCCTTCAAGCGTTACATGCATCATCAACCTCTACCGAAGGGTGCTGAGCCTCAACACGGCGTCAGTATTCCCCATTCGTTTGCGCATGACTACCTTTGCCAGCTGCGAAATAGCCCTCGCCGTTTGGCTGTTCTGATAGGCAAGGATGTAAGTGCCTCTGGTCCGCAATAAGACATCTCGTTCCCGCGTTTAGGCATGTATCCTTCGAGATGATACTCGATCATACAGGTACAAATTGTTGTGTACCCAAATCTGGTAAAACGTTAGATACATACACCGTGCACCGGGAGTGTAGTAGCACAAACCTGCACATCTTCGTCGTCCATCCATGGCGCGGATTACACCAAGCCAAATCGAGGGCTGCCGCGTGTATGAGCAGGAGACAGCAATCTCCCAGCTGGGTATACATCCCGTGTGCGGCGTAACAATGGAGAAATTCCAGCTCACTGGCGTTGAACTGGTTCTATCCGCCGACATTCCAATCGGTTTCCTACTCCTGGGGGATGTCCATCACATCCACTCGCAAACTTGGCGAAGGATACTTCTCAACAGCAACCTTAACTAGACATCAATGTATTAGTCAGACAGCAACAAGATGATAGTGATGTTCATGGCTCACACTGTACTTTCTCGTTGCTCTTCCTGTTTGGATAGCTTAGACAGAACGACCAACAGTCACCAGCGATAAGCTTGATGGTTTCGGCGTCGGCGGCAGGGTGACAATAACTGCAAAAAAGAAACCGAATGACATAGTCTTCACAGTGAAGAGAAGAGACACAGGCCTTGGCGAGGGCAGTCCCGTGGTGGGCAATGGAGTATGTTGTGGTGTCGACGGCGGGGGAGTTTTCTGCGGTGTCAAGAGCAGTGGAGTACGCTGTGGTTTCGAGACGGAGGGAGTTGCTTGCGGTGTCGAGGAAGTGTAGGTGGCTGCTGTGCCGCAGGGAAGTGAATTGGCGAAGGCAATAGTTCTGTCTGACTGACGGCAGGCCTAAGACGGCGCTTCGGTGTTTTGTACCCTCAAGTCTCCTTCCTGGAGCGGAGGACAACCATATTTAGGAGAGGGCAGGGGGTGAGTCAGTAGTAACGGTTTCAGACCGAGTGAAACCGCGGGCCGTGATGGAAATCGGGTGGGGTTAAAAGGATTTGACAGGATATCTCGCGAACGCTCTTGACAGACACAAAGGTAATGAGATCTGAAGACCAGCTGCAGCTGCTGCTTGTGTTTTTGGTCGAAAGTGGTGTTTCGTTGAAGGTAATGGTGGTAAACGAAGTTTGTGGTTATAGCAGCGTTCTATACGTATAAGTAGTAGCTGTGGCAGCCAATCCCGTGCTATCCTAGTAGCATGACTTGGGGAGATATCGTTCAGGGTCAGGAGTGCGCCACCATTGAACATGCGCCCTGTGCTTGTTGCTATAACTACAAGCATAGGGACCATGGATGAGATAACTGGAAACAATCGATGTAGATCAATATGCCTCGGAAATATATGAAATGCATGTTGTGTGAGGGGAAGTCGTTTTCCATGTTTCCTTTTGCTTTTTCCAGGCAGCAGGGGTTGCAGGTCAAGAGCATTTTGGCTCCGAGAAGGTGGCTTTTCGACCTTGAGCTCGGGGATCAGCTCGAGCTTGATTTGTACAACCAAACTCATTTTTCAGTGATTTGCACGAATTTCCGCGACGCGTGGAGACACGCGCAGATTTGCAGACCTCGCTCGTGCATCAGGTGTGGATGAGGGCGAATGGAAGCACTTTGCGTATCGTACAAATGTAAGAGAATAACCAACGGGTATTATGCTAATGTCCATGAACGCCTTGCGAATGCCAACTGTCCGTTCCTTCCTGACAACTCATCCTTGCAGCCCCGTCTTTCAAACAATCGACCTTGATCAATCGGCGAAGTCTTGGTTGGACTACGGTTCTCTAGTAAACATAGTCCAAGCCGTGCGTGATGCCTTGTGTCACCCTCGCACTCCTCCACACTGCCAGGAAGCAGATGTCAAACAGCCCAACTCTACACCATCTTCACGCACTCACACTCGCCTTCTCCGCCTCCCCTTTATCCATCAACTCATTCTCCTCCTTGGTATTCCCCTCCCGAATCTCCTTCCACAACTGCGTCCACATACTCCCAAAATCAACTTCGACCTCCTGTTCCTCAACCTCAGGTGACGCCAACCCCTTCTCCCGTAGTTTGTGTCTCGTGATATTTCCGAACTCCTCCAACTATGCCCACCTTCATTAGCACTCTCAGTAACAGGAGCAGAAAAGGGAGGAGACACGTACGCTTCTTGCTCTCAACCCACTCCAAACACACCCAACCAAAACTCCAAATCCACCCAAACTCAACAAACTCGCGATCCCAAACGCCTTGGCTGCTGTACCATGTGCCGAAAACCCATCATCCGCAAACACCATGTTCTGACTATAGAATGGGAACGGTTTGTTGAGTTTTCGGAAAGGCGGAGAGGAGGGCGAGGATGAAGGTGAGGGAGGAGGAGGTTAGGAGGAGGAGGGGGCGGTAGTCGGGGGTGTAGGGGTTGGGGTGGGGTGTTAGGAGGTCGGTGGAGAGGGTTGAGGGCATGGTGAAGGGATATGGGGGCGAGATGGTCGAAAAAGGGTTTCGAGGGTGCGGGATGTAGGATGTAATTCGGTCCCTGCAACGTTGACAGGTGAGCACGTGACCTTGACGGTTTTGGCCCCGAGGTCGGGAAACCGCCGGGCAGAAGAAGAGAGGCCGAGGAGGACGACCAAGTCAATTGCTCTGAGTAGGAAGTCCACAAAGGACTGCAATTCTCTATATTGGCAAGCAGGAAAGAACTCCGTAATGGGGAAGTACAATCACGCTGACGAAGACCAATTGGACAAAACAAAATCGCGGCAAAAAGCAATCAAAAATCTATTCTTGTAATTTTGTATAAAACGTCTCCGTCTCCTCTTCCTTCACAGCTCCAGGCACTCAAGCGGAAGCCATATTATAAAAGCCAAAAGCAAACTCCAAAAGATATCTCAGTGTATCATAGTTGTGTGTGTGTGTGTATCAAATGCAACAAACAAGCATCTCCTCAGCTCCAGGCGGAGAGAAGATGTTTAGGCGTGGGCCTTCTCGAAGTACTCCTTGGAGTTCTTGACGTCGGGCTTGATGGTGTCGCCACCCTTCTGCCAGTTGGCGGGGCAGACCTGTGAACGTATATTAGCATCAAAGTCATATGAGAATGATGGACAGGAATGAACATACCTCTCCGTACTGCTCAACGAACTGGAAAGCGTCAACGAGACGAAGAGCCTCATCAACGGAACGACCAACAGGAAGGTCGTTAATCGTAATCTGACGAACCTTACCCTCGGGGTCAATCAAGAACAACCCACGAAGAGCAACACCCTCCTCCTCCAACAACACTCCATAATCCTTCGCGATCTTATGCGCTTTGTCGCTCAAGAGCGGGATGTTGACGGGTCCCAATCCACCCTCCTTACGGGCGGTGTTGGTCCAGGCGAGGAGGGAGTACTCGGAGTCGACGGAAGCGAAGAGGACTTGGGTATTGCGCTCGGTGAACTTGGAAGCGGCCTCGGAGAAGGCGACGATCTCGGTGGGGCAGACGAAGGTGAAAGCGAGGGGGATGAAGCCGAGGAGAACCCACTTGCCCTTGTACTGCTCGAGGGACACATCCTCGAAAGCACCGTCAATGACGGCGGTGGTCTTGAAAGTGGGGGCGGGGTGCTGAACGCGGGCAACCATTGTGATGATGCTTGTGGAAGTAGAAATAGTAGTGATTGTACTTGATAGAGAAAAGGCAAACGATGGGGGGGGTTGGGGGGGGGGATTATATAGCAGTTTTGCGCCTCTGGGGCGACTTGGGTTCGGATTACGTGAAGCTCGCGGCCAGACTCCAGGCACCTTGGTAATCGGAAACCGGAGAAGTCCAGAATCCCGTGGAATTTCACTCAATTTGTGACAGTTCTCTTACAAGGTTGACTCAATTGGAAATGACTTGTCAGTTAGGATGAGCGTGTTCTCTGACAGCCTTCATCTCCCTTCCCCTCCTTCACTTGTTACAGACTTAGTCATCTGACAGGAATCTAGGTTGCGGATCTGATAAGCCGTCATCGTGCGAACTCAAATTTGACTTGCAACATAGCCCAAGAACCCATGGCCAGTTAAATCAAAAAACGAACGTACTGTAAATAAAATCAAGAAATATCGTACTCACTCCCATCTCTCTCAGTCTTTCTATCATTTACCGGAAACCCCTCATCCCACCCCTTCCCCCAACCTCAAAATCCGGATTCCCACTCAACCCACCCATCGGCCCGCCCATCCTTCCCGGCCCCTTCCCCCTCTTCGGCAACGCAATCTCAAAATCCGGGTTACCACTCAACACATCCGGCTTCGGTGGTCCCGGCGGACTAAGCCCACCTCCGCCTCCAGCTCCAGCTCCAGCTCCAGCTCCAGCTCCCTGTCCTCCCCCACGCACCCGTCCAGTGGGGGAAGGAGAGTGGTAACGCGGATTAACAGGTCTCTGCGAAATCGACGTGAAATGCGAACTCGTACTCGCCGCAGGCGACATCGGCCCCGCACCAGCGTTCAACCCCACACCACCACCCTCAGCGGGAAGGTTAGGAAGTGGGTGTGCGATATCGGCGTTCTCGTTATCGTACTGTGGGTCGACATCTTCATAGTACCCGCCACTCGCTGCACTGACGCCGCTGGCTCCGCTGGTCGTACGGCCGTGTGCGTGGTCGCGGGCGAAGGAGGGTTGAGGGTTTCCAAGGGCGGCGGCGAGGTTGGGGTCGGATTGGTCGCGGCGGCCAGGGCGGGACCAAAATGTGCGGGGTGGGATGTAGTCTCCGGATTCGGTCGTACTCGCTGGTCTGTGGATCCCTGTGCCGGGTCCGGGCGCGAAACCTTCTTGGGGCATCGATGGAGATTTCCTCATTCCCATTCCCATCGACATAGGCCCTGGTCCTGGTCCCTGTCCCGGCATCGGCATCGGCGGTCCCATAGGACGAGGAGGACCAGGTCCACCAGACCCACTCATATGAGGCGGCGGCATAGGAGGCGGCGGCATAGGGGGCGGCGGACCAGGATTCATACCCATCGGCAACCCACCCTCATTCGTAACATAACTCGGCGGTCCCATTCTTCCCCTCCCCATCGGGCTCATCCCATCACTCCTCACGCTCGCCGGGCTGGCATCAACAGCCATCGCAGCCATAGCCCCAGGATTGAGCATCTCCTGACTACTCGTCCTCCTCAACGCTCTCGCTCCTCCTCCTCCCATCGTCATCGCGGGCATCGGTGGAGCCCCTCCTCCCATGGGCCCGGGTGGACGCGTACGCGGGTCAGAGGGACGACGGGTTCCCATTCCCATTGGCATGGGAGGGGGTGAGTCTTCATGGGGACGCATACGTGGGTCAGAGGGAATACGGCGCGGAAGGTGGAAGTTGCGGCCGGGGGGTGGGGTTGCGTTATTGAGTGGTCCATAACCTCCTCCGGGCCCGCGTTGGGGTGGCATGGGGAAGCCTTGTTGGCCGGGTGAGGCGGTGAGTGTGCGCATGGGGACATTGCGGGTAAAGTCGCGTCGAGGGGTGCCGACACGGGATGCGTCGGACATCATGCCCAAATGCTCTTCTTCGTCGCCGGTTTGGAAGCCGCTTGGGGCTCTGCTCAGGTTTGGGAGGGTGGGGTTCAGCGGGACGCGTTCTTCTGCGGCGATGAGAGGGAGTTTGGTGGTGCTTCCGCCGACGGGCTCGTTGAGGGTTCGGTTGGATGGTGCCTCGAAGCTTGCAAATTTGGGGAGACTGTTGGCATCTGCGGTCGCGAGTTCGCTGTCGAGGGCGCGTTGTTGGGAGTAGTAGTCTGCTGCATTCATGTCGGCATCTTGGTCGATGGAGCGCTTGCGAGCTTTGCGGTTCCTAACGGTACGGCTTGCACAACAAATCAAGACTATCACAAGCTTTAGTATCAGGTTCAAGATGAGGGTATGTGAAGATAAACTCACGAGAAGCGAACATATTGAGAATAAACGCCGCCAAAGTAATCCAAGTACCCCAAGCACAATGCGGCCAGAACACAAGGATGTCAATCACGAACGCCAACAGCGTAATAATACTGCTCACCAAGGGCAACACCGCAACAAAGCACAGATACCGTGGTGAATGCGCCCCCGATCTCAAATGTGCGAACCCAGCAAAGATGAGGTTGATAAGCGTCAACGCAGCAGCTGGGATATGAACGACCAGGATCTTCGCCAGAGTACCGCGTATGCTGCTCAACAGGTAATCCGTATCGGCGCCACTGGGGAAGTCGTATCCCACCCCCGCGCTCGAACACGAACCAGAACCGATGGGACAGTATCCGAGGACACCATAGGTGAATGCTGAGTCTTCCCCAAGTTTAGAGAAACGGGTTACCGGGGCGGAGATGACAGAGAGGAGGAGTAGCACGAATGCTGCGAGAAGAAAGAGGGAGCCAGGAGTCACGGCGCGACTGCGGTGGGAGGCCATGGTCGCGCTTGTCCGTGTTTGAAAGGGAACGTGTAGAGTACGAGCAAGAACCTGCTTGCTAGACTTGTTGGGTCGTAAGTTGTAGCCGTGACTGGGTAGGGAGCGACGTAGATGTTGATTGTCGTTGTTGGATGGTGTTTAGACGCGGTGGATTAGAGTGGGGCTAAATTGCGACTATCTCGTAACCGACCGTCTTTAGCTAAGGGAGAGCTCCCTTTGGACTTGGGACCCTTGAAAGGGACGTCAACGAGGATGAGATTTCGAAGAATAAGGTTCAAGCTTGAAGCACAACGGCCCGTACTTCTCGAAACAACTGTTCGCCTACGGACCACGCGTTGGGCCCTTGGCATACCGGTATATGCGCCTAGGCCTCACCTCCGCGGCTGCGCACAGCCCCACTTGACTCGTTGATCTATATATAGATATTGCGACGTCGACCTGACCAGACATCTCTCAAATTCTCCTCTCTATGCCTTAATGTCATGTCATGTCTAGTTCTTCGGAGGAACAACCTTCTCCAGCCACCTCGCAAAATCCGCCAACTCCTTTAGATCCGCAGTATGCCCCATCCCCGGATACTCCCTCCACTCAATCTTCTCCATCCCCAACTTCTCCTTCAAATACTCCATACTCATCTTCCCAAACTGGAATTTAACGACAGGGTCTGCAGTTCCATGTGCCATGAAGATCGGGGTTTCCTGGTTATGCGGGTGTCGCATATCAACGAGCTTGGATGCCATGGGGAGGTATCCGCTCATCCCTGCAATCCCCGCCAACTTCTCCTTGTGAATCATACCACTCAACAACGCCATCGCACTTCCCTGCGAGAATCCACCAATCACGATTCTATCGGCGGGGATCCCACTCTCGATCGTCTCCTTGACCAAGGCGTGGATCGTCTCCGCACTCTGTAGCATCCCGACACTATCCTCCGCCTCCTCGACACGCTCGAGGGAGGTGAGGTCATACCATGCCGGCATGCGCATACCCCCGTTCAGGGTTATGGGACGGAGGGGGGCGTTGGGGAAGATCCACTTGATGTGTTGGAGGGATTTTTCGCGTTTGTAGTGGTCGGCGATGAAGGACCATCCGGCGCCGGAGTCGCCGAGGCTGTAGAACACACGTTAGGACTTACTTATCATCAGTGTGTAAAATGGGATATAGGAGAGGATACCCGTGGGCGAAGATGACGGCGGCTGTTGCGGCGCCGTTTGTGGCGGGGATGCGGATTGCGGAGATGGAGGATGCGGCGCTCATCTTGGGATTGAAGTGGTAGATGTAGACGCTGTAAAGACTGACGACGAGAACAATCAGGTATAGTAGAAGGCGATACGTTTTGTCGAGTTGACTTGGGTGGGGTCGGTTGTCAAATGCGGGGATTAGGATGTAACGTCGAATTCGTTGTTGTCGAGCGAGACGTCACGCTCAATTAAGTCATGTGCGTAGTAACTCAAATTCTCTTAATGTAGCGTTCTCTAAGAAAAAGCACAAAAACGCCGGGACAACCCATGCAATACCCTTTCCCTCTACCAATGTTCCTCTCTCTGTCATATGCATGTCATTTCACTGTTCTTCTCCACTCTCCCTCTTACACCTCCCACACCCACACCTAAAAAAGAACTTATCCTCCAACCGCCTCCGTCGCTCCAGTACATCCTCCTCCAAATGTCCATAACTGATACACAGCTCTTCGCCCTCGGCCACATCTCGGGCTGTTACCATCGTCATTGCACGCCCTCGTCGAACCTTTTTCGTGTTTGGATCACAATCTATGGTACGCGGTCAGCATATACCAATTGAAGGAATTTAGTGACGAACCGTGATTGAAATACGACGCACTCGGATACATCGCCCACCCCAACATCTCACTCTCCCCGTCCCCTTCTTCTCCTTCTGCTTGTTCCCATATCCCGAAACTATTCCCCGGATCCCTCGCCGTAGTCGCACGGAAGTTCTCGAGTGTCAAGACACCCCTCAGGGATTTAGGTAGCACGGACCGGAGGAAATGGAAGGTGTGGAGATGGGAGGGGAGCAGGTAGGGTTGGGAGCGGAAGTGGGAGAGGGCGTTGGGTTGGAGGGCGAGGAAGTCGGACCAGGTTGGGGACGATTCGGAGCCGGGGGAGGAGAGGAAGTTGTGAAGGCGGACGAGGGCGTAGGTTATTAAGCGGGCTTCTTCTTGGTCCACTTCACCGTCGGGGATTTGTCCGTGTTTAGGCCATGGTGCATCCGCGGCATCTTTCCAGACTCGTTCCAGCATTTCCTCGTCCATCGTCGTCGACGCTCTGCCGACCTCCTTCCCATCCGGAGTCCGTGGGGGCTCAGCTCTCTTCTGCCGCTTGAACCCCCTCTCCAAACACTCCATCGCCTCCCCAAGCAACCCCGCCACATCCTCCTCCCCCTCCCACTCCCTCTTACACCGCTCCCCACAAAACCAAAAACCGGCAACATTCCCTCTCTCTGCCCTCCACTTCAAGTTCCGTCCCACAACACAGTGGAAACACCGCGCACAGCATTCTTTTTTGAAGTCGCGGATGATGGAGAGGGTGTAGGGGGAGGGAGAGACGTGGATGAGGGTGTTTGCGGGGATGGGGGAGAGGGCGAAGTAGCCGCGGCCGCCGTAGGTTGTTGGACGGATTTCGATGGAATTTGAGGGGGTTGGTGGGGTTTCTGGCGATGGCATGGCATGGGCGGATGGTGGGGGTGCGAGGATCGAGGAGGAGTTTGGTGGGGGTCTGAGCGTTTATTTGTGAGTTTAATTCTGTGCCTGCAACGTCGATCGCAGATGCCGCAGAAGTGCACAGACCGCGTCGGACATCGTAGTAGCAGCGATATTTACAAGCAGACGTACAGAAGATTGCTGGGGTGTACTACGTGTACTTGCTGTGTTCAGGCTATCCTCCATGCTCGAAACCCGGGATCAGGGTTTGCTTACCCTCAGCACGCACTCGCCGCAATTTTCCGCGGCGGTGTGGCGAAGTGCCGCCCGCCCAGCAAAACTCACCACCACGCTCGAGCACGTTCGATTTTCCCTGTCCTTGTCTAACCTCACAGCAACCGACCAGATAACTCAGCAAAAATGGCTCGCGGTCCTAAGAAGCACATGAAGCGCCTTGCTGCGGTACGTCTCTCTCATTGCTCTGCGCAATCGCAAAGTGCACTGTGCTGATCACATGTGCTCTTTAGCCCTCCCACTGGCTCCTCGACAAATTGTCCGGTGTCTACGCTCCCCGTCCTTCTCCCGGACCCCACAAGCTCCGTGACTGCTTGCCCCTTATCATCTTCCTCCGCAACCGTCTCAAGTACGCCTTGAACGGCCGTGAGGTTACCGCTATCCTCATGCAGCGTCTCGTCAAGGTCGACGGCAAGGTCCGCACTGACAAGACCTACCCCACCGGTTTCATGGACGTCATCTCCATCGAGAAGACCGGCGAGAACTTCCGTCTCGTCTACGATGTCAAGGGCCGTTTCACCATCCACCGCATCACCGCCGAGGAGGCCGAGTACAAGTTGTGCAAGGTCAAGAAGGTCCAGCTCGGTGCCAAGGGTGTCCCTTACCTCGTTACCCACGACGGTCGCACCATCCGCTACCCCGACCCCCTCATCAAGGTCCACGACTCCATCAAGTTGAACTTGAAGGACAACAAGATCGAGGGCTTCGCCAAGTTCGACCTCGGTAACATTGCTATGGTTACTGGTGGTCGTAACCAGGGTCGTGTCGGTATCATCACCCACCGCGAGCGTCACCACGGTGGTTTCGACATCGTCCACGTCAAGGACGTTCTTGACCGTACCTTCGCTACCCGTATGTCCAACGTCTTCGTCATTGGTGAGGGTAACAAGGCCTGGGTCTCCCTTCCCAAGGGTAAGGGTGTCAAGCTCTCCATCGCTGAGGAGCGTGACCGCCGTCGTGAGGCCGCTGCCCGCGAGTAAATGTAGCCTTCTCGGTTATGTTTACCCGTGAGTGCTGAGGTCGTGCGTTGCTGCAAGAAAAAAAAAAGGATAAAGGGAGGTGTTTTTGGATGGATTTTCTTTTTTCGGGATGTCTTTGTGTCTTTCTTAGGTCTAGCTTTTTCTGAAACAGAGAACTATCCAGCATTTCCTATACTTCTACCCGTTCTCGGGAGCCATAGAAGAGGAAATGATCTGTGCCGTCTGTTCTGTCTCTTCGGAGCAGCAGCGAGAAAAGGTGTCCTTCCCTTCGGGGAGGTTTTGATGCCGTCATTTGTCTCTTTTGTGGGCTCCTGGGGGTTATACTTTGTCCAAATACTTCGTTCGTCCTGAAAATTGAAAATATGTTTGTCACCCCAAGTTGACTGACACCCCACAGGCCATGAGGTTGGGTGGGGTGTGTTTCTAGGATACCATAATATACCAAATGTTACGTTGATGCTCCGCCGTTTTCGTCCTTCCGCTGTGCTTCTCTTGATACGCGTTTGTTCGCTGGTTATTTATTCATCCCGCTGAAGGATCGAGTAATCTGTGAAGGTTCCTACACCTATCGCGCCTCTACCGACCGTGCCCCGACGACACCTTAATCCAGACTCTTCTTCCTCTTCTTCTCCCTCGTCTATCGTGCATTCTACTGAAGGTCCCTCTGGTCATGGTCCTCTGCTCACAGCTGTGCTATCCTGTCCAAAACCTCCATCCTGTGCTCCCATATCTCTCCTGCACCGTCCCCTAAACCCACATCTCATATCTCAAGGCACATACCGACTCCTGCCCGCCCCCGAAAATATACTCAACTTACTCCCTTGCCCTTGTCCTTGTGCTTGTGCTTGTGCCTGTGATATGAGCGCGTCTTCCATGGCTGACACACTCACGCTCGCATCCGACAAATCCGAAAAACTGGAACCGATGGAGGGTGGGTTGCTTTGCTTTTTGGGTGTGGTGGTAGGGCGTGGGAAGTCGGGAGTTGGGGCTTTGAGGGTCTTTTGACGGTCGAGTGTGGGCCGCGCTTCATTGATGTCGGTGTCGTGCTCGTCTTCGGATAATGGGAGGAATGCGGGTGGTTCGCGCGGGAGTCGCGACAATGAATCGGATAAGGAGCTTCCCGATCCTGACCCAGAGCCCGAACGGGATGGGGGACGTAGACGGGCTGGGAGGGCCGTTAAGGGTGGGGTTGGTGTCGCGCTTGCGCGACGGGAGGAGGGGAAGCTCAATATAGGAACTTGGGGTGCTGGGGAGGGGGAGGGAGCGGGAGCGGGGCGGAAGGAGGAGGTTGAGGCGCGGGAGGAGGAGGGGAGCATCGCTGTTGGGATAGGAACTGTGAATATCTCGTCAGTAATACTAATGAGAGTCGAGTAAGAACTCATCCGGCGAGTATGCTCACCTGTTGATGACGATACGGCACGACTTCCGCGCATACTTCCGACGCCAACATCACTGACAGCGATACCCACGCCGCTCTGACTCGACTCACGACTTCGAGATGGTGCCATGGCCAGTGAGGAGGAAGACCCCACTCGCCGCATTTGTTCCCGGACTTGTGATAGTTCGCGTTCGTATAGTAATGCGGCTTGTTGTAGGAGGAAGTGGGTTGGTGTGTTGAACAGTGTCGCTCTGCACCACTCGTCAGCAGTCTCTTTGGTAAATAAGGGAGGGGATAGTCAAACAGCTCTTTCCAGTCAATGTCAGACCGGTGACGATACCGCGATAATATCGTCCATAACTGTCGTTCTTTATCGCGTGACCAGTCAATCTACACCAACTCTCGCAGTCAGTCTCTCATCCCCGTTCAACGAAGGGAGTAAACTCACAGCAGGAGGATCGATGAATGCATTTCTTGGGTATGGTAGTCGTACGTAAACGTCGTAACAGTCGTCCATCTCTACTCACCCTGTCGTTCAGTGTCATCGTTATCGCCGGCGTATTGCATCAAGCCTGCGTTCGTCTGCATGCCACCTCATCGATAACCAACCACCAACAATTCAACAATTGCAAACAGCATACACTCCCTACCATGGACAGAACAGCAGAGTTCAGATCGTGTGTAGCATCAATCAAGAACCGCTCCACAAACAAATCACGACCATTCGAAGCACGACGTCTACTCGCATCGAGTCCACCACCATCAACGACGGATGTACTGTCAGGTGGACATAACCCCAAGACAGAGTTTGCGCGTCAGGCGGCACAGATTGGCCGGGATATCAATAACATGGTCGGAAAGCTAGAACGGCTGGCAGCACGTACGTCTCTCCCCTTACCTTCTTATGTGGATGAATGCTGATCTGCAATGGGAATACAGTAGCAAAACGAAAAACCCTCTTCGACGACCGCCCAATCGAAATCTCCGAACTAACCTACATCATAAAACAAGACATCGCAGCCCTAAATACCTCCATCCGCTCCCTCCAATCCCTCACCAAATCCCAACGCTCGGGCAAGCAACAACAAGAACACTCCCAAAACGTGGTAGTCCTCCTCCAAAGCCGATTGGCGAGTGCGAGTATGAGTTTTAAGGATGTGTTGGAGGTACGGACGAAGAATATGAGGGAGAGTCGGCAGAGGACGGAACAGTTTATGGCGGCGACGACGTCGAGGCCGGAGAGTGCGGCGTCTTTCCAGACTGCACCGTATGCGGGTACACATCCACATAGCACACCCGCACCACCCGAAGGACGACACCAACCCCCACCACAAAAACAAGACTTCCTAGCCCTAGACCTCGGTGACGCCGAGAATTCTATCGGAATGGGAATGGGAGGCCAACAACACCAACAACTAGCCCTCGCCGACCCAACAACCACATACCTCGACTCCCGCGCCTCCGCAATCGAAACAATCGAATCCACGATTCACGAACTCGGCTCAATCTTTTCTCAACTAGCACAAATGGTCTCGGAACAACGCGAGCAAATCACTCGGATCGATCAAGATACGGAGGATATTGTGAGTAATGTGGGTGGGGCGCAGAGGGAGTTGATGAAGTATTATCGGAGGGTTAGTAGTAATCGGATGTTGATGTTGAAGGGGTTTGGGGTGTTGATTATTTTCTTTTTGTTATGGGTTTTGGTGTCGTGAGACCAAGATCGAGCCATCGGCGAGGGCGAAGGGGAGGAATGGGAGTGGGGAGACATACGGTGTATTTTTACGGGCCGTAATTCACAAGCGGAAGATACCCGGACTACATTAGTCAAAATAACCATCCATTACTCCCCATCAGGAAACACTACCCAAACCTATAGCTAATCCTGCTGATCCATCAACCTCGCCCTAGCCCTCTCCTTCCCCTTCTCCAAATACGCCTTATACGTCCCTTCCTCCCCCGGTCTGCTGTGCGCATCTCCCACCTCTTCTTTCTTACCACCAGCCATACCCAATCCCACACCGGGAACATAGCCCTGCCCTTTTATCGCTTCGACACGGCCTTGGTTTTGGGAACCGAGGCCTTGACCGGAGGTCCAGCCCATTTTGGCGAGGAGGGAGGCGCCTTTTGACGGGGGTGGAGGGGGTTGTGGTGGTGATGGGCTGCGGGGAGGGGGCCGGGTGGATGAGGGTTGGGGGGGTGGAGGAGGGCGAGAGGGTTGGTTGAATTGTTGGCGGCGCTCCCATGCGCGATCGCGATACCCACCTCCAGCTCCGGCTTCGCTTTCGTCTGCCGGTTTTGCGAATAGTTGTTCTGCAGCGGGTTTCGCTCGGAGTTTTCGCAGCTTGGCAGCGGCTTTGGCTTTGACGGTCGCGTCGGCCAGATTATTCTTGTGCAGTTCCGATAATCTCTCGTGTTTCCTTATCTCGTCTTCAGTTTTGAATTGGCGTGCACACAGAATACATGCCATTAACCCCAGATCGGCCCAGTCTTCGATTTCGTCAGGATCTGCAGCTGTGGTTGTGGTTGTTGGGGTTGAGGTTCCGAGTTTCACGGCTTCGGCGGCACGAAGTTCCTGTTGCTTCTCGGCCCATTTTTGGAGGTGGGGAGCCATTTTGCGGGAAGTGGTAGGGACAACCTCCGCTTTTCGCTTTTTGGTACCCTGCGCTTTCTTCGCCTTGTCGTCCGCGGTAGAGGAAGATTGCTCTGTTGCAGCGGATGGGGCGACAGTCATCGGAGTTGATGAATAGGGGTCGTTCACCATAGCGCCGGCTTCTGGGGCTGCTGGTCCGGAGGTGAACGTCGACATCCCAACCTCCGCATAAAACGCCTTCATCGCATCATCCTCCGCATTCTCGTTGGCAATCGCGGCCTCGCCCTCCACCGGCACCACATACTCCGAACAAAAGGCCCCCTGATCCCAATACGCCAACCTGATCCCATTCGGTCCCGGAAAAGAATACTCTCCTCCATCACTATACACTGGCACAAATACCCCAGGATGAATAAACGACACCGTAACCGGCCGACTCCTAATCGTAAACTCCTTACACTCAACCCCATCCTGCTTCTTCCACTCACCCATCGCCTTCTTCGCTTCATCGACATCCCTACATTCGACGAACGCGAAACCCCACGACACCCTCGTCGCGCGATCTTTCACGAGGAGAATCCGCGTCGCGGAGGTGTGGAGTTTCGTTATGGCGCGGGCGATGAGGGGTTCGGTTGTTAGTGGGTCCAGGTTACGGAGGAGAAGGAATTGTGAGGGGGAGGTGGCGGAGTCGCGGGTGCCGTCGTTGATGGGGATAGACGGGGGGAGGGAGCGGGTGAGGGTACCCTCGGAGTCTGATGGCACGGACGTTAGACCGTGTGCGGGGATGAATGGGGTTTGTGCACGTACCTGTCTTTGCGAGGTTACACTTGAAGCAGGCTTCTCGCCGGGAGTAATTGAGGGTTTCGCACTGTACCCATGGGGTTAGCATGTGAACGATTCACGCCCGCCGTGATGCGAATACATACACTCTTACAAGTCCACCCCTCCTCCCCACCCCTCGTCTCCCTCGAATACGCAATCTTCACCCGGTGCTGATTCGGTCCCATCGCCATATACGGGTAGTGTTGCTCGACATATTGCCTTGCGTGCTCCACACTCACGAATTTTGCAAAGGCAAAACATCTCGATTCCTCTGTGCACACACCTCAGTCAACCACTGCCCTGTGTAGATATGCTTTGACGGCGTAGACTTACTGGTTTCTTTGTCTCGGATTAAGACGACGGATTCGACGGAAGCTCCCTGTTCTTCGAGTACGCGTTGAAGCTAATCACAGACAAACCCACATGTGAGCTTGTCATGTCCATACAAAATAGGGGGTATATGATGATGTCTAGCGTACGTCCGATTCGACGGTATGTGGTTCCAGTCCTTGGAAGATCACTTGAATATTTGGTAGGCCGGGTCCCTCATCTCTGTCGCGGTTGTTGCGGCGGGGTTCATCGCGGTCTCGGTAACTGAAGTGCCGGTCACGGTCGTCGGAGCGTCGGTGGTCTCGGGCGTCATATGAATCGTTTCGTCGGCGATCGGATTCGTAGCTGTTAGAGCGTTTATCGGGATAGGAGCTACGGGGATCTTGGCGGTAACCGCGGGACTGCTGATGGCCTTGAGGGGCATAACTCTGACCGTAACCTCGTTGACCACCTTGCCCATAGGATCCGTAACCGTGCCCTCCTTGATGGTTCGACATTGGCGGGGTACTTCGTTTGCTGCTCAACTGTTTGCGTTGCGGCGACGTCGTGCGAATGAAGCTCGATGCACGTGACGATGAGAGCGATAATACTTGAAATAGAATCCTATGCTACGAGATCACAAAAACGCCAACAACAAAGCCCAGCTCCATTTGCAAAAAGTCTCTCTAAAACCCAGTCCTCCCCGACATCAACACCGCAGCACCCACAGCTCTCGTCTCATCCCCGTCAGCCTCCTTTAGTGCCTTAATCAGATCCTCCCGTTGCATATGCGGTAGCACTTCCTGTATCCGCTCCAACTTCGCTTCGAATACCTCGTCTAGAGGCGGACTCGGCAAGCGTGATTGTGACGCGTTCAGGATCGGGAGAATCCCCAGCAAACTCCGTCTCCTGCCACCCAGACTGATGATACTATTCCGCGACGTCGAAGCCCGACTTGAAGGCCGCTCGGGCAAAGCCGAGTTCATCCTCGAAACCAGTCCACCATTCTGCTGCACCCCTGCACTCTCAATCTTCTTCGCGTTCAAATCCTTGAACAAACCACTGCTTCTTCGCACGCTCATACTCTTGCTGCTACCTGTCCCCCCAAGCTCGCTCTTGACCGCGTGTCCAATCTTCTTCCCTTCTTTCTTCATAGTCGAGAAGAATCCTTTCGACTTACCGATGAGCTTGCTTCCGCTAATAGAACTCGTCACAGTCCCAAGCGTCGCTGTCGAGCCCAACGGTAACGAACCCAGCCCACGAGATTTCGATCGCTCGAAAGTACTCGTAGACGGGCTAAGAACCATCGTACTCGAACCAGCCGCACTCCCCGGTCTTGCGCCTTCGGCAACATGCTTTGTTGAGGTGACTCTCACCCACTCTTGCAGCGGATTTGGCAAGTCAATCATTGCCTGCCTCCGTTGCTTCAACTCCGCGATACGTTCTCGTGGGTTCGTCGAATCTTTGATATCCTTGAATGCAGTGCATTGCGGTGCAGGTTGTAGCCGGTGATACGCGAGGTTGACGTTCTGTCCAACAAGATGGACTGTAGCTTTGCGGGTAAGGGTGGGAGGAGGCATCAATTCCGGTTCTGGTGATAATTCTCGAGCTGCAGCGCTTGGTACTGGTTCAGGAGAAGATGAAACGGAGATAGCAACAGGCGCCAACACAGGCGGTGCAGTCGTACCGGCTTCCCCAATGTCCAACACGCTTCTCCGCACGGGGACCTCCGGGACGGTACTCGCCGCCGCCTCACCTATATCCAACATACTCCGATACACATGTAACGGCTTCTCCGGCACGGGCACCACAGGCTGTTCCACATCCTCCGTCGCCCTTTCCCCGTCCGCTGCCTCGAACCCCAAATCTCTGTTCTCATCCTGCACTAACGGCGGTGTTTCACCAACCGGTGTCTTCACCCACATCCCCTCACTGAAATCCATCGTCTTCCTCTTTTCCTCCAACGGCATCGGCTCCTCGTCTTGTCCTTGTCCCACAACGACTTCAGAAAGATCCTCATGAAACGCAAACCCAGCACCTTCCCGAACATGCCGACTCAACCGTCGATTAACCGCATCGTCGCCGAACATGAGTTGTTCCGGGTCATCGTGGTTGGGCGAGGTGGGGATTTCGAGTTCGGGTTCGGCGGTTTGGGAAAGGAATGCCTCAACCGTGGCAACGTCTTCCAGGAGTGCAGAATCCGGCGCGCTGAAGCCGCTCATCCTACTAACCTGAGCAGCCCCAACCTCTGCCCCTGAATCCTCCAAAGCAGGAGCTACGTGTTCAAACGCACCCTGCGACGCCCTCGGCGTATCCTCAACCACTTCACGCTCCTCCTCCAGCCCAAACCCCTCCTCTTGCCGCGCCTTCGGCGTCCTCTCAAACCCCTCCACACCCCCAACCCTCGGCGTCAATGGCCTCGGTGCCTCCAACGCCAGCACACCCAAGCCATCCATAGGCGTAATAGGCTCCACTGCCGTCACGTATCGCTCATCAGATCCCGGAGAGCCCATACCGGATAAGATCTCGTTCGCGAGACGGTCGACTTCGCCTGGGGTGTAGGCTTCGGGGGAGGAAGCTGAGGACGGTTCGGGCGTGTGTACGGCATGGGCCACTGTCGTCGTGATATGAGGCAGGGCTAAGGGTGAAGACACGAAGTCGTCTTTTGGTGGCGGGGGAGGCGGAGGTGCGTCGTCCGCGGTTGGTGGGTGTGCGAGAATAGGTGGTACCTCACCAATCGGTGTTCCGAGTTTCAGGGCTGAGACGTTGCTGACGAGAGAAGCTATGCCACAATGGACTGGCGTCGGTTTCCGCTCTGAGTAAGCAATGGGAGTCTCCGCCGACTGAGGTGATACCGAGGCCGGTATGGCGTCGACCACTAACGCAGCCATAGCCTCATCCAACTCCTCCTCGAGCTGGCCTCCCTCTCGCCAGTCCGTCTCATGCACTTCCCCGTTCTCCATCTCCCCCATTTCAGGCTTATCCGCCACATTCGTGACAACCACCTCCTTCATCTCCTTACCTTCGTTCGCCCCGCTCACTTCACTCCCCGTCGGACTCTTAACAACCCTCCTCAACGCCTCTGCGCGTTTCTTCCAGCCTTGTGCGGCGAGGTTAACGGTTTGTCCGCGTTGGAGATTTGGATCGGTTGGGGGCGAGGGAGAGGTGGGGATTGGTGGGGGTGGTGGTGCGGTAAAGCTCAAGGGTTGCTCTTGCGCAGTATTTGCTTCAGAGGGTTGTTGAGTAGTTATAGAAGTGGGTGTGGTGCTTGGCAGAGGAGCGTGTGTGACCTGAGGCAGCCGTGGTGTCTGTTGGTCTTGTTCGCTGCCTGCTGATTCCAGCGTGGTACATGCGGATCCGGGTTGCGTAGGCGCTTCGATGGCTACGGGGGCTAGGTGTAACGCTGCAGGTAGGATGTCACCATAGACAGTTCCAGGATCAACCGCGCTGTCTCCTCCGTGCGTGATTGTCTGAGATTCCTCGTTCTCCTCGGTGTAGTCAGTCATGAAACTATCGTCTGGAGTCATATTCGCACGAAGCATCTCGTGGATACTCATCCTATTTGCAGCCTTGGTGCCAGTCATGGCCCTATTTTCGGTTTCATGAGTTGGCGCCTCTTCATCTTCGTCGTAACTGACAACTGTAGCTTCGGGCCGCGTGTTTACTTGTGTTGGCGTTGCCGATGCTGACGGTCCTGGTTCTGGATCTGCGCTCGTAATCGGGCCGGAGATGGTTGCCTCGGTGCTGGTTTCTGGATGTGCGTTGACAAAGGCCTGATATCTAACCTCGTCCGCGCTCGTTGGTAGAGTCTCCACAGCTGCGACAACCGGTACCGGCTCCTCAATCTCCGTACCCGGCGTAACCATCGGCGCATCATGAAGCGCATACCTCTCCGGCTCCGTCGCATCCTGCGCATCCCACGGATTCGTTTCTATTTCTCGTACGCGCTGATCACTCGAACTCTGCCTCCGCTTCTGGCTCACTCCTCGTGACACTTGTTCGCATTGTTGTGCGCTCTCAATCCCTAATCCAATATCCGGGGTCGCCGGCGCGGAACTTTCCCACCTCTCCCTCTCTTTCTCGTCGCGATCCATTTCATACTCATCCTCACTCCCACTCCAATAATCGTCGCCCTCATATGACGGCGTCGGAGCCTCCGCCCATCGTTTCGAGCGGGCGCGGCCTACATTGCCCTTTGCATTTGTGAGAGCTGGGGAGGAATATGGTAGAGGTAGTGACATTTGCTGTTGATAGCGTGTTGCGGGCGGTGGCCGTGTTGGTATATGGGTCTTTTGGTGTACGAGCCGGCGGCCGTATTTTGGGTGATGCAGCCAGATGCATGGTGCAACTGTACGATGAGGTCGCGATCGTGCAAACAACCGACAAAGTCGTTCAATGAGTAGGTCAAATAATCGTGGTACGAGATGAGAAATATCAGTGTTTCATGATTCATGATTGCTGGGAGTCTTTTAGTCAAGTAGTCGACTATTGAAGCGTGCGAAGTGCTCAAGAGTCTTGCTATCGATATCGGAGAGAAGCACTCTGGCCATTTGAGTTTATGTTCTGTATTTTCCTAACTTTCGCGAGGTAAACTGGGGCTAAGGTAAACCAGGAGATGGGACATGCCCTCCTGAAAGTGTCGATTACGGGATGAGAGAGGGTGATCCGGTGAGATGAGATCGGACGATGCAGATACAGGACTTTCATGAAGAGGGGCTCGATACACGAAGAGGCATTTGCATTACGCGCCATTGGGGCACAAATCCACACGAAATATATGACGTCCATTACACATTACTTTCCCCGACCATGTCCCAACCCTAATCCTTCCAATCCCAAAAAAATACGAACAAACACACTCAAGCATCCTCCTCAACCTCCTCCTCTTCCTCCTCACCCTTAGCCTCCTCATCCGCCCTATCATCAGCCTCAACCCCAACCTCAACCTGCACCCTCCCCGTAACCGCCCTCAACTCCCACGGCACCTCCCCCCCCGCCCTCAAGAAAGCCAACTTCATATTCCTCGCCTTATCCTTCAACGAAACCTGTCCTCTCTCCCTCAACACCTGATCCACGCTCCCCGTCCTCCCATGTTTCTTCTCGATGAGGGCCCACTGGCAGCCGTAGCGTTGGAGTGCGGATAGGAGGCAGGATTCTTCTTCAAGGGACCAGGGGGTGCGGGTTTGTCGGGGACGGGCGGCAGCGCGGCGGCGGGAGAGGGCGTTTGCGCGGCCGCGGGCGCGGTGGAGGTCTGACACGGTGAGGCTGCCTTCGCGGGGTCGTTGTTGGTCTCCTTCGTCCTCGTTTTCGTCCTCGTCGGCTTCGTCGTGTTGATCGTCCTCGCGCCTCTGTTTGAACTCGACTTTTGGCTTTTTCTGTGTTTCCTCGGTGGTAGGCGGATCGAGCTCATCTTCCCATCCTTCACGTTGCGCAATCTCCTCCGTATCCCCATTTTCGCGTTCAACCTGCGTCGCATCCAAATCCACATCCTCCTCATTAACAGCCGCCAACGCTCCTTCTTCTTCTTGTCTCCTCTTCGAACCCTTCCGTCGCTTGTTCGTCTTATCTTGGTTTGGGACGATATCGTCATTAAAGCCCTCCGCATCGCTTTCTTCGGGCTGCTTACCGCGCTTCCTCTGGCTTCGTCTGGGAGCTGGGCCAGCAGAACGCCCAGGCGTGGGAGATCCCTGAGATTCGAAAGTGACTTTTTCTGCAGTCTCCTGACGATCGAGCAAACTCCCCTTCTTCCTCGGGCTTTGTCTCCCCTTCAGAGTCAGCTCCTTCGGGGGTTCTTCCTCCTCCTCGTCAAAGGCCTCCACAACCTCCGGCTGGTCTTCGAACACATCGACTCGTGCTTGAGTTTCTTGTTGCAGCGTAGCCTCAATCTCAACGGCGCCCAAACTCCTCCTCGCAATACGCCCAGGCTCAAGCAAATACTCCACCACATCCGGCGCCAACGCTTCCTCCCCAACCTCCTCATCCGAATATTCCCCCTCTGAAAAGTCCTCGCCCTCTTGCTCCAACTCCTCGACCCTCTCCTTCGCGAATGCCCACACGATAGCAACGAACCGGAACCAAGAGTACTTTTGCAAACACGCCAAAGCCGCTTCATCGTCTTTCCAATCGATATCTTGCAGTACCTTCATCCGCGCCGCACACAATTTAGCGAATTGTCCGGTGGGTTTACGCGCACCGGGACGGTTGAATGCTTCTACGATGAACTGTGGTACATTGGGGTCCTCCTCTTCCGGCGCCAACGCGAGCGCCATCATGGAGATAAACAACTGGGTACGGATCTCCACCGAAATCGGTGCAGCGAGTTTCATACTCGCCCCAAAATACTCCGGGAAAACGTCGTCCGTCTCGATGAGTGCCTCGTATCTATCCGTCATGCTATCAGGGTTCGTCTGCGTCAAGACCGAGGACGCGAGGGAAGCGTAATTTGCCATCCGCAACATCGTGCGGTGTTTCGCGACTCCCTCCTCCTCGTCATCGAGGTATGAAAGGACTTTCTCGACGTCGATGAATGTGGTGCCCGAGGAGAAGTATTGCTGTGTATCGGCGAAGCGACGCAAGAAGAGTGCGAAACGTCGGCTTTTGGGGCCGTCTTCGTGCATTTCGCGGACGCGGGGTTCGAAGTTGACGGTGTCGTCGAGAAGAAGGTCGAGGATTCGTTTGGACTCAGCGGAGAGGTCGTTGATGAGGTCGAGCATGAGTTCGGGGTCCAGGTTTTCCTCGGGGGGGTGCCCGGGGTGGATAGCGGAATCAACGTCCGGTAGGGAATCATTGTCACTCATGATGACGTCGTCAGTCTATGTATACCAGTATGTAGCGGTGTTGAAACGCGTTGGACTCGGCCAGTGCCCTCAAAGTTCGTGCAAGAGCTGTAGAGAGACGATGATACCCTAACCCTAAACCTTAGTACTCGTTTCTCGTCGAAGTCACGCGTCAAAGCGTACCTTTTGATACAACAAGAAAATGCGCAAGGTTTGTTCGAGCGTTGCACGTCGATTGAGGATGTTTCGTCGTGTAGTTGTGTTGTTGTGTTAGGGTTGTGGTTAATACAGCGCTTTTCAACAGTTAAGTCAAACGCGGGTTTTTCAGGGCAGGGCGCGCCAGATCGACTCCACCAACCTGACATCCACAGAAACACAAAAAACTTTGTATCTCAAGCTACAGACCAGGTATCGATAAACGGACTTCAGCAATGACTTCGGGCAATGCCAAGCGTCCAGACCGTGCTTGTAAAACTCCGTTCAGACCACAGGATGCGGAGCTTGAACCAGACATAGCCGTGACCGATCTCACACACCTACCTGATGATGCAACAATGGAGATGATTGAAACTATGGCTTTACCCTTGCGGAGCCGTGCCTTCCAGGTCAGGCTGGTTGTTTAACGCCCAGGCCGAAGTGCTTATCCGGAATTCCTCACCGGAATGAAATTGCATTGTGATTGAATGTAGCGGGCCCGCATATCAAGTTCAAGGTCCTGATTTGTCTCAATCATGATTGGTCCTTCAGCACTGAGATCAGTGAAGACGACTACGCCCACCAAATTGCCAACAGCATTGTCGGAGGTAATTTCCGCCTAGGGCCTACAAGCATTACGGGAATCGATGAATGGCAAGCTTTTCTTGAGGAGGTGGAGGACACGCACACTCATTGGAAGCTCAATGACTTCATGGTCTACCATGACTGTGCTTCTACCTATATCCCTCCACCTGGTACAGACGAATCTTCGAGTGATGAAGAACCATCCTCAACCCAGCACAGCGGTAAGAGCAGTAAGGCAGGGAAAGGGTTGTAATGCTTTATCGAGGGGAGAGGTTCAGCGTGCTGAGACCATAGTCTTAATTCAGAAAAAATGGAGTTGTGCTGAGCACGGGACTTTTGCTAACTGCATCCAGTAAACAACAAGAACGACCATTTGCAGTTAGAGACTCATTTATTTGATGCCTGGGTTGATGCTATGGTCTGCACTGAATCGTCTAGCACCCTGTCCTGCCCACTGCTGATCGAACCGTTTTTGTCGATACTCGACAAAAACCGCAAAAAGAGACCACTCCCGCCGGGGTCTTGCCAAGCAATCAACTCCTGCTCCTAGTCAACCGCAACCGTTACCACCTGCTCCTGTCTTCTGTGAAACGCATGCACTGAGGAAACCACTACTGCCTACACCTACAATGTCCGAAATTTCCCACGGCAATACCACCCTTGCACTCCCAACCCCTCCTGCGAGTCCTCTGAGTCTCGAGGATTGTTCTGATCTCAGTGGCTTGCTGGAATATGCTGCAAACAACTCCCAAGACTACCAAGCTTTTGATGCGGATGAAATCAAGCAGCAAATCAGGCTCTCAGACCTAAGCTTGATCGACATTCCCAAAATGATACCAAGAGACTTCCCGCTGCTTCTTCTTGGTCACGTACTTCACTTGGTTACCGAACACAAGTACTGGATGAAGGATTGACGGGAGAGACGTCGATCCCATAAACTCCGTAGATGGGTAAGTGCAGACCCCCACCTACTCTGCGGCTGATCTCACAATTGAGGACACAGTAAGGGCAACTATCAAGTATGCGAAAATACCCCGATAAGGCGTTTGGAACCAGGATTTTTTACGCTCTTTTCCTGAGCTAAAATTCAGCCCGGAGACAGTGTTTTTTGCAAGGGGTTTCAATAGCGCCCTTGTCGACTAGTTATTTGTAGTTGTTCAATGTTCCAACTTGATCCCAGAGTGGGTTCTTGTTGTAGGTGTTTTGTCGAGATGTAGGTACTGAATGGTACCGACCAGGATAACATACTGGATGTACGATGGGGGTGACTTTGCTAGGGCGTCCGCTGCGAGCGAGTACTCCGTAGCTCCCGGTGCCTTTGTAGCGCTTATTGACTCAATATACTGTTCTTGGGTGGACATAAGCAAAAGTAGCAGTATCATTAGGTGTCCTCCTGACCTTGTTGTTGAGTACTATGAACTCGACTGTCCAACGTCAAGACTCCAGTCTCAAACTCGGCAGCAGCACCGCAGAAGTTCACAGCAGCGCCGGCGGGCCGCGCCAACGCCAGAACCTCCAGATCCCGGCCGCACGCCGAGCCTCACCAAGGAAAGTTCATAGTGACGGTCCGGCTTTGATTCGACATCGTTGACAAGGGCAAGTTGCTTGGCAGTACGGAGATAGAGGCCAGATCAGCTACAGCAATAGCTGCCGATTCGCCAAGCGTTTATTCAGTTACGATTGCTGAGGAGAACATCCAGTCATTGGTACCGCATTTACGGCTGGTTTTGTTCACAACTAGTGCAACACCTTCATCAGTCAACTTCACGTTTCGGATCAGACCATTACGAGCCATCTCCACCGGCCGCTGGACCTGCAAAAGATCACACACAGCGAACGACACCGACATTTGATCTACCCACCATGCTCAAACTCGCCCTCCAAGCATGGCACAAGCTCTCCAAAGCCCAAAAAATCGGCATCATCGTCTCCACCCTCCTCCTCATCCCCCTCATCGTCCTCGTCTTCACCTACCACCACAAAATCGTAATCTACCTAACCCCCTACGCAAAACACGTCAAATCACTCTCCTGGGGCTTCCTCATTCCCGGTCTCCTCTGCTTCATTCTCTCCTTCCCTCCACTCTTCGGACACGAGATCATCGCCGTCCTCACGGGATTCGTGTACGGGCCATGGGTTGGATGGGGCGTGATTGCGGTGAGCACGTTTTTGGCGGAGTGTGTACTGTTTGTGGTGTTTCGCAGGTTTTTCTGGAAGAGGTGTTTGGAGTTTAGACGGGGGCATCCGAGGGATTGGGCGGTATTTTGTAGGGTTGTTGAGGAGGGCGGATGGTGGATGTTGGTGCTTATCCGGCTCAGTGCAATCCCTGGACATTTCTCCACCCTGGGTTTCGCGAGTATGGAGGGTATCTCGTTCTTCGCGATGGCGAGTGCGGCGGCGGTGAGTACCCCCAAGATGTTCTTACCGGTTTATGTCGGGCATTTACTTGCGTTGAGTGGGATCGAGGATCGGAAGACGAGTCCGGCGGAGTATGTCGTGTTTGCGGTGACGGGGGTGTTGACGCTCGCGATCGGAGGCTGGATTTATTGGAAGTATTGGAAGATTAGGAAAGAGATGAGTGCGGATGATGCGATGAATTCGGTTGGGGTGGAGATGGCGTACAGGCCTGTGGAGTTTGATGTCGATGAGGATGGGGATGAGGAGGAGAGGGTTGGGCTTACGGCTAAGGCGGCGGGGATGGGGATGAGCAATGAGGTGGTGGGTGAGAAGAAGGGCGCGAGGACGCCGGAGGTTGATGATGTTGATGTTTCGCCGGGGTCGAAGCCGGGGTATGGGTACGATAATCACGCAGAGATGGATAATCCGTTCGATGCCGACGAGAGAGGAAGATCGAATGGCCATGGGGATGGTGTGCTGAGAACGGTACTCACCGATGATGTCGAAGGAGAGGATGCATACGATCACAGGGAAATGAGTCTCGATCTGAGCCGGGGCCGGGTAGGGAGTAAGGACCATGGGCGGTACGATGGGTATTGATCCCAGCTGAGGCATAAGATATGATACGATACGATAAGATTGGGATAGCCAGCGAGCGACGGATCAAGTTACCTACACCGGAAAACATCCGAATGCGAACACCCTTGACAGACCGACCAGGATACCCATACCTTCACCCAAACGCCGTATGCAATCCTAACAAATTGCCCGATCACTTCGCCACTCGGATCAAGCAATCTCGATACAAATCTCGTTTGTGTAAGCATACTGCTCTGTTGGGTTTAAGGTTGCTGTGGGTCGATGCGCGCCGGACGCCCAAGATGAAGGTGTGGCAGTACGGGGCAATTTATGCCAATACGATATTGAAGGGTGGTGACATTTGACAGGGATCATTGAGAGAAGGCAGGCAGGGACTGCTATTGACGTCGACATCGACGTCCGTTTCAATTGATCTGTTTCGTTCTTTATTTGAAGGAGCGTGTTACGTTCTCTATCAAGGTTCTGTTGTTAGCAAGGGGAAGCAGTTGAAGGTCAGTCCGATCATCGTCGGTCTCTACGTTTTGTTCGACAATTGCACTACGTCTCTCTCTTCACTTTTCGAGTTTGGAATACGGTCTTTACTTGGCAACGGTACTCAATAGGCATCTCGGTCTCGTTTCGTTTCCTACAATTGCAACTGAGGACTACAACAATTGTCATCACCTGCACATCCAATACAGAATTACCCTGTCAACCTATATACCCCTCCACTCAACATGACAACGTCACTACCCCCATCAAAGAGGCCAAACCATGCCCGCAACCGACATGACCCAACCTCCTTACGCATCACAAACACCGGCCTGAAGAAACCTCTATCGCGTCGACCATTACCACCTCTTCCTTCGAATTCTGCTCCGGTCGTGCCTCGAATGGGCATGGGAGTGCCCGTCGAGCCGGAAAGGCCGCGGACTGCGATGGGACTAGGATTGGGGATGGACGCGGAAGGTAGCGGAGGTGCTCGGGTGATTGACATCGCCAACGAGGAGAACGGGAGTGGAAGCAGCGAAGAGCAGGCAAGTGGAAGTGAGAGCGGAAGTACGAGCCCAAGAGTCGACTTACGCCCCAAAACTCCCTTCGGCGGTGAACGATTCTTCGACGCTTTCGAAACCCACTCCGTCTCTTCCGAAGCCTCCCTCAATATCGACATTGACGAATCGAGTCCTCCGTTACATTTAGCAACACGATACCCGACCCTCAAAGGTGTGGATTTACGGGGTACGAGGTGGTGGACCCCTCTTACCGCTCCCGTACTCCCCCTTCACAACACCTCTGCCTCACAATCACCCACACCCGACTCATCAAATATCTTGGAACCACCCCGTCGTCCCGGCTTACGGAAGAAAGGCAGCATGGCAGCCCTCGTCTCCCGCCTCCGCTCTTTCACCACCTCTTCCTCCGCCTCCGCCTCCTGTTCCCACGAGCTCGCACAAAGGGAGAGAGAGGTCAGCGCTACACCGAGCATCAGCTCTCTCATGAGCGAAATGGAAAGAGAGAGGAGAGAGAAACATGGAGGGAGGGAGAGCGTGGATACGGTTGATACATTCGCGACGAGTATATCGTGTATAAGTCTGGCAGTGATGGTTGGGGAGGAGGGGGATACGTTTGATGACGAAGATGTGTGTTCTCCGCCTCCGAGTGCGGGGTTGAGGAAGGGATTTGGGAGTGTGCCGCAGAGTCCGGGGTTGGGTGGGAGGATGACGTTTGAGGAGGCGATGAGGGCTGGGGAGGGGTTGTCGGAGGAGATGAGGGTCGAGGAGATCAAGGCGAGGCCGGGGGTTGTCGACGCACTTGAAGTTGGTGGAAGGCGGAGTGTTTATGAGGAAGAGCACGGGGTGTTGGCGATGGGACGCTTGAGAGATTTGTGGGAGTTGGAGAATGGACGCACTCTCCCGACGTCGTCGGATGCTGCGTCGCCTGATGTGGAAGAGCTGGGCGTTGAGAAGGTCGAAGTGGGTAAGGAGGAAGATGTGGACAAGAAGCGAAAGATTATGTCGGAAATCGTGGAGACTGAACGAACCTACGTCTCCGGCCTCCAACAACTCGTCGACCTTTACATCACCTCACCTCCAACATCCAGCGCCCCACCCCTCTCCGAACGACGAACCGCGTTTTCGAATTTAGCACCCTTGTGCGAACTCCACAAAAAACACGTCCTCCCAGCCCTCGAGGCCGCGAAAAATGAGAAAGAGATCGCGAGGGCGTTCAGGGGTTTCGTTCCGTTCTTCCGGATGTATCATCTTTATCTGGCGTCCTTCTCTGATGCCGCGGAACGGATTCAGGCGTGGAGTGGAAGCCATGCGGCGTGGTTGGGGAAGATTAAGAAAGATCCGAGACATAAGCAGTTGGATTTGATGGCGTATCTCGTACTACCTGTTCAGCGTCCGCCGCGGTACCTTCTTCTCTTACAAGAGTTAGCGAAAGCCTCGGGGAGTGCGGAGGGTGAGGTGAGGGAAGCGATGAAGGAGGTTACTGGGTTGGTTGAGGGCATGAATGAGAGGAGGCGCGAGGCGGAGGGGAAGAGGCGGTTGTGGGAGATGCAGGATATGGGAATCGGGGAGGGGTTTGAGTGGGTTTTGCCTGCGAGGAATTTAGTGCGGGAGGGGGAGTGCGAGCTCAAGACACGCCTAAGGCCGCTTGGGGGGGAGGATATGTGTAGGGAGGTTGAGGTTGGGAGGCGAGTTAGGATTGTTGTGTGTTCGGATGTCGTGGTGGTTTTGGGTGGGGATGGGGGAAGGGTCGAGAAGGTGTTGAGGAGGGGGGAGTGTGCTATCACGGGGGTTTGGGAGGGGGAGAAGAGGGGTGGGTGGAGGATTGTTAATTGGAAAGATGGTGAGGTGCTGTACCTTGGGCAGGATGAGAACGGGAAGGAGAAGGAGCGTGAGGAGTGGATTGCGGCCATGGAGAAGGCTGAATGGAATGTGAGGTGAGTCCCAGACTTTATGGGACGATTCTGCGTGTTGATTGTGGAAGCCAAGCGCAAATGGACTATATGATTGTGGACGATTTTTTTGGATATTGTCGCTCGTTTCATGGTCATTCCTTTTTATTCTTTCTTTTGAGATCTATTTACCATGTATACCTAGGCATTACTTATGGGGCTTTTATATTGATGGACGCGTCTGGGATGCGTCGAGACTCTTATTATGGATTTTCTTCTGAGAAAGAATATATTTGTTGTCTTCTTACTGTCTTTGTGTCGTCTTGTTCTGAAGGTTTTGGGAGTTAGAGGATTGGAGGAGTGGTGTGGTCATGGTGAGCTCATGACGTTGACATCGTTGAGGGACCAGAAGTTAGGCGTGGACAACATCTTTACTTGATAAAACGTTAGCGACCTTCGAAAGGATGTCTGAAATGGAGGATTGGGACGATATCGAAGAATACTACGACGTCCGTCACGCCGTTGTCGGGGCGTACGTGAGGAATGAGGATGATTACATCCTCGTGCACGAAGAGGAAATGCCATTCTTCGCATCTCCACCGGTTGCGTCCCCGGTGATCAAGAAAAATCATCCTGTGGAATTTGGTTCACTTGACTTTTGGCAGTTCCTCGGAAGAGCTGGTCACCCCCAGAACTGGAGGAAGTCGCATGGTCATTCGTGGAAGGCGGGGAAGGAGGATGATCACGATCTTGAGAAAGGACGCCTGCTGCACCAGCACTCCTTCGTACGCCGCAAGACAGTTATCCAGCATAATCCACTGCAGTCATTGTCTGCATTCTTTGTCTTCGTCGTCATCACGTTCTTGCTTCAATTTGTGTATCTCAAGTCATTGGACGTCATGACGATGGCGGCGGAGATATTCACAGGCGTACAACCACAAGAATTAAATAACGTTACGCACTCGGTTGCATCGACATACGCGACACTGAGTGTGTTTGCTACATGGTACGCTATTTTTTTGGTTGTGAGAGAGGTTCTGCAGGATTGGATCGTGGCAGCTTCGAATGCGCAATCAAAATTGTAATCAAGCTATTAGGGTATATGTGGTATCTATGGTTAGCAAAAGCAAAAAAAAGCCCAACACCGTCACTCTTATCCCTGTTGATCCTAGTCACCCCAGCCGTTTTTGACTTCACTTAACTCTGACACCTCTTCCACATTCAAACATGCATACCAAAGAAGCGTTCAGCGTTCTCACGCTAGCACGCACGCTGACGCTCTTCCTCGAGTCGCCATCGCTCCAAATGAGCGGCCAAGACCTCAGGGTTATTGATGATCCTCTCATAAATCTCCTCGAGATTCTCGAGCGGCTCGTCCTCGTCATCCGTGGTTGCCCAATCTCGCTCCTTATCCTCGTCTGCAGCTGCTGAAGGGCGCCAAAACATACGGTGTGCAGCATCAGGTCCGCGAGGTTATTCGAAACCGGTGGAATGGAGCCTAGGAACTTCTCGGAGGTTCTTGAATCACGCAATTGGCTCGCTACATTTCATCTATATAGAGTTGTATGAGCCGCACTGCGGATCGTGACGTTGCTCTTGCTGCCGCGGACCGGGTCGCACGGGATGGCGCTAGTTCGTCGAGGGTCAGAAATCTGCTTCGCCCCATCGACGTATATCCAGCGTAAACCAGTTACTACAACCATTAGAGTTCTGAGAATGAGGTAAGTCTTTGATCCGTTGTTTCCTGTTCTCTTAACGGAACCATCTGTCTGATCTCGAGCATCGATGCAGTCTTTGCTTGACTCGTGTCGTGGTAGCCGGTCTCTATGAATTGGTTCCTTGGTCGCCTTCACACCTGACTAGACCGGGTCCTGAGAAAATACGTACATAAACACCTAGGCGGAATACACTCGGATATGATGGTCGATATACTTGGTCTATGATTACGGTATATTCAATGCTGCTCTTTTGCCTAACGGGAATGCCCAAAAAACATGACACGATAACACAAACCCCAAAACCGTACGCCGCTTGCTTTCACCATGCTACTACGCCTTAACCTTCGCCTCAGGATCCTCGACCTTCTCCCTCAACAAGTTTGTAGTAGTAGCACCCGCACTCGTCTGCGTAAACCCACCCTTGCTAGTATCCTCCAGGTCCATGCCCAGCTTGATCCTCGCCTCACGATCCTCCGCTTCGTAAGCCGCCTGTGCCTCGGAATGCCGACTGTAGTAGTCAATACACTGCGAACAACGGATATAATACGCCTGTGTTACCTCAGGGTACCCAAATGCCAATAACACCGGCAACTCGGTTCCGTACCCAATGATATCGCCAGGAGGCAAGCAGTCCTCGCAGAAGGAGTTCGGGCACGAGGAACACCGGAAGAGCATACCACCAGCATTCGTCGTGTTACGCGCACACATGCAGCAGTTATGCTGAGGACAAACGAGGTTGGTAGTGCGCTTGACGTCGTTCTTGTTCCATCCGATACATTTCGGGTGGTACACGCGCGGACATTGTCCACACTCGATGACGAACCCGCCGTCTTTACACTCCCAGCAGTAGTCTTGGTGTTCGAACTTCTTTCGTCCTCGCCCGTCCTTCTTCTTGGGTGCGTGACGCGTGCCGGTTTGACTGCTCAGGGTCTTGACGCTCTCGCCGAACTCGTTTCCGAGGGTCTCCTTCAAGACCATGTTTCCGTCGATGTTTACGGTACGTTCCTCGCGCGTACGCTTGCCTTGGATATCGCGCCACTCGTCAGCGATACCACGAACCGTTTTCGCGTAATGCTGCCCTTCGAACATCCTTGTGCGAACGTGTTCTACACCCGCAAGCAATTTCCTTTCTTCATCCTCCTCGCTCAGCTTCTTTTCCTCGCCATCCTCCTGCTGCAGACCAGCTTCGCGCTTCACCTTGTCATCCTTCTTCTGCTCAGTCTGTTTCGATTGTTCCAAAATTTCTTCGAGCGACATCTTCTCCCACTCCTCGGCTTCAATCCTTCCCATAGCACCAGTACCCGCCCTCAAGATCTGAATCAAGTCACTGCGAGCCATGGTGGGTCCCTGCTCCTCCTCGTCGCCCTTCCCGTTCTCCTCGCCGTTGCCGTTATGCAGATCTCTCAAACTTGCCGTGATTTTTGCACTCAGATAAAGCTTCTTCCGAATACGACTCAACATCTGATCCTCGACTGTATCCTGACAGATAAGGCGGTACACCTTCACCTTGTTCGTTTGACCGATTCGATGAGCACGGGCGATAGCCTGAAGATCATCTTGTGGGTTCCACATCGAGTCCATCATCACCACGGTATCTGCAGCAGTCAAGTTGATACCGAGGTTACCGGCCTTCGTGGAGATCATGTAGACTTCGTATGGACTGTTCTTTTGCTGGAACAGCTTGATGTCGAGGGTTCTTCTGGGACGGGAGGTATATCCATCAAGACGAGCAAACTTGATGTCGCGGTACTCGCAGTAATCTTGCAAAACATCCAACATGCGGGTCCACTGCGTAAAGATAAGACAGCGCCGTCCTTCCTGTCGAAGCGTTGGTAGGAGTTTGTCGAGGAATTGGATCTTGGAAGATGCCTCGATAATGTGATCGTCGAGGATGTATGGATCGGGCTCTGAACCGGGCAGGAGATAAGGATGCGAACAGGCTTTGCGAAGCTGCATGAGAAGGTTCATCAATTTCTTCCACTCACCGGACTCTTTGGAATCAGAAGGCGCGTTAGCCTGGGCAAGCATAGCCGCTTCCAACTTGATCGCGCTCATCCTTGACCCAGAGACCTCGGTGCCGGTTTGTGACTCGGCTGGTGTGTCCACTTCCACCTTCAAAGGCGTACCGCCTGCACTGGGGCCCTTACCCTCGAGAATCTCTTCCAACATGGGCTTATCCAACCTCGTGAGCAACCTCTTGTACCAGAACCTCTGCATGGGCGACAGAGGGAGGTAAATGGTCACCTCTTCCTTCTCTGGGACCTTGAACTCGTGCTCCAAGTTTTGCTTCATACGACGAATCATGACAATCTCCAACAACTTCCTAGCAGAGTCGATGAATCCCGTGTCGTACTTTCCACCGGTAAGATCGAAGGAGTCGTGGAAACGCTGCGACGTAGTTGGGGTGAAGATATCGGGATAAAGCCAATGCAGCAAGGCCCAAAGCTCGCGAAGGTTGTTCTGCAATGGGGTTCCGGTCAGGAGGAGACGCCATTGACAGGTGATGTTCACGAGCTTCATGGCAATGTTGGTACCCTCGTTCTTCATCCTATGACCTTCATCAACGACGACAGCGCCCCAAGCCCTCTTCTTGAACCAAGCGTCCTCGGCAACATATTGCTCGTAGGTGGTGACCACAACATCGTATTCATTCTCCCTAGCCTGAATCTTCAATCGCTCGCGTTCAGTTTTGCCTCCATGATATCTCAACGCTGTCAAACTCGGAACCCATCGCTCGATTTCCGCCATCCAGTTCTGCAACACTGAAAGCGGACATACAACCAAGTGTGGTCCCTTGTGATCCTTGTTCTCCTTCAGCCAGGCGATCATGGAGAGCGTTTGCAGCGTCTTGCCGAGACCCATTTCGTCACCCAAGATGCCGTTCATACCGTTCTCCCAGAGGTACACCATGAAGCTGAGACCCTGAATCTGATACTCCTTCATTTCACCACCTTTGATCAAGTTAGGTTGACTATCGAGTAACCGGTAAGGATGAAATCCCGCAGGAGGCGGATGCGCCGAGTTTGCGAGTTTGGCGACATAATTGGACGGAGGCAGAAGTGGTAGGAATGTGCTGCGATGGTGATGGACGAAGCGATCGCGTCGCTTGTGGATGTCGGTCAATTGCGCTCTCAATCCAGCGCTTCTAGGGTCGAAGATGACAGGCGCTTTCTCCTTGACTCCCGTCTTAAGTTTCTTGGATTTGAGCTTGAACAAAAGACGTTCTTCGCCCTCAGAATCTTCAGCCTCGATGATCTCGACGTGCGCACGCTTCGAACGGGGGTTCTCAAACGGCGTACTGGGACCGGCGCCGGAACGCGTCGCGCGGTCTGAGGCAGGGACAGCTCGCCAGCCTGTGCCCATGTCTGACCGTGATTGAATTGATAAGAAGCGAAATAGAAAGAATGAATGAACCACAGGTTATTGCGGAACTGTGCTGGGTTGGAGGGCGTTGACGGCTGAGGCGGCGGTGGAGGACTTACGCGATTTTCGAAGACCAAGATCCGCCCGCACCGCGAACTCGAGAATACGCGACTGTCTCAATTATACACCGTTCTGCGGCTCTGTATGCTTCACTGGGCTTCTAGGATAAGAAAAAGGGAAGTTTGAAGCGAGAAGACGTTTGAAAATACAGAGATGAGGCGGTCTTTGACGACGTCTTCCGGAGCCTGCACGACGCTGCAGCTGTGGACCAATCAGATGGCATGATACGAACTTCGCTGTTTCCTCTGGAAATCATTCAAGGTTACGACTACTAGATCAAGACTCAAAAGGAAACATTATCTGACTGAACTACCCTCTACAATCGGCGTCGTCTTCGCCCCTGCCTTAGGGAAGTCCAGTGAATGACTTGGAGATCACGGAACCCAGCAACAAGTGTTCCCACGCTCCAGCTCCGTCATCTGTTAGTAGTTCGGCATGGATGTTTAGGTTACTACTTGATAATTGATAGTTGTCTGTTTATCAACATATTCCGCACCTCATCATTAAAATCCCTTACCTTGCTCTCTGTCATGCCCAGCCAATGTGCTCGGTCGAGAACGATGTGCGTTCTCAACTTTGATTACTACTCATCAGCCATCAACACCTCCGTTTTGATCAAGAGTTATGGCTATAGAGCTTGGATTATGCGGAGCCACCCAACCTTATGCTTCTTCTGCTCCGGCTCTTCATCGACATCCATCTCATCCTCACTCCGGCTCCTCTTCCTCTTCTTCTCCTCAGTCCTCCTGGCCTTACCATGCCGTGTGCCTTGCTTGACCACTTCACATTCCGGCAAGGTTGGTTTTAGCTTGAGATTGTTGATAGCATTCTCAGCGTACTGAATCCACGAGTTCAATTCGCCCACGCTAGCGTCTTGATACACGGCTGCCATATCGAAGATTTTAGACCTGACAGTCTGCTCCACCTTCCCCGCAAACTGATCCCGTAACCTCGTGACTTCAGCATCCCTCTCGAGTACAAGGGCACACAACCTATCCTTCTTCAACTCGGTTTCGGTGCGGAGAGCGGGGCGAGGAGTTTGGTGGTACCGCGCTGAGACGTCCAGGACTGCGGCTAACATGAGACGATCGATGAGGGGCTGATCTGTGCTGCATGATTTGCTTCCGGTGATGAGGAGGATGCCTTGAGCGTGCTCCTCGTCCAGGATGTCGTGCCATGGTTTTCGGTTGAGGAGGTGGTCGAATTTGCCTTCGAAGGTGTACCATTCTACGCCTTGATCCAGCCTCAGTTTCTCGCTTTCGGTCGCGGGAGGGAGGGTTACGCGCCAGGCGATTGCGTGGTCGGTGAGGCTGATGGGATGTAGATTGCGGGTGTGTAGGTTCATTACCTGCATCTTGGCGAATAGGATCAGCTCATCTGGGTCGGCGCCTCCATGACCCGGATCGTCACCGTAATTGTAGGAAAATGAAGGGAGGAAGTAAGCGGTGAAGGTGATCCCATCGCAGGTATGTGGTCTTGAGGAGAGTATTTGCGGCCCTGGAGGGATGACCTTTTGCACATTCCACGACGGCTCTTGGCACAACTCGCGATATCGTTCGGGCTCTGGCTTTGGCGGCGCGAGACCTGGCCATGTTGAAATGGATGAAGATTCCACCCTCGACGACGCTTGATATGGGATCAACGACTTGACCTCTCAGGCTGAACTGAGGATCATGGTGCTGCGGTCTTTCATTTCCTGCGTGATACCTTGAGATATCGGCCCGCTTCCGGAGCTGAGGGGAGGCCTGAGCACATGCTTGCCTTCATAACCAACGTCGTAAGAAACGAGAACTTGGTGCAACTGAACATGACAGGGTGATGGGCCGATAACAGGGACTCTCACAGCCATCTAAGGGGCTTGGAGGGCAGCTGACAGTTTGCCAAGGCATATGGCAGGTAGGTGATCAGCATTGAACGATCGACGAGGGATTTTGGTCTGTACCACATATTGTAGACTCCATCCAGTGATCAGGACGACGACCTTGACATTCATGAGTTTCCTGCGACACTGCCTAATGACAGCAAGCTCTTATCCAAAGTCATTCGTACAATATCTCTTCGGGCGCACGCTCGCTGAGCGAAGACAATGTGCTCTGGAAAACCGGGGACCGTGGAAAGACGTGCAGGGATGGAATGGATGACCTCTGATCTACGCACTCAACGGTCATTGGCCGGCGTTCCAACTGGATAGGACTTCGCAATGGGACTTGAACGACATCTTTTTCTTCCTGTAAGTCTATAGTAGTACCCTAAATTTAGAATATCCGAGGCCAGGGTCAACGGCCGAATACCATACCAGTATACATACTGAATCTCTTCAACTCAGAATCAATATTAAGGTGCAAGCTATTAACAACAACAATCACGGCTACTGGTCACACAAGGCGACCTGCCCAGATATCTCCTTCTTACGACTCAAAGCCAAAGGCTGGATACGTCGGCGCCGTAATCCCATCACAGGAGAACTGCACCAAGTACGGAGAGGCAGCCTTAGACGTGTCACGGCTAATAATCAACGATCCATCCGGTGCGTAGACATTAAACGCAAACTGAGCGTTCCCCTGCCCATTCCCATACAGAATTCTGAAAGGGTAATACTGCCCCTCCACCAGGTCAATCTGAGCAGTAACGTGGGAATCAGCACCTTCAAAATTGTAAGGTTGAAGGATATTGGCATTTTGCCTGGTGTAACCTGAGAAGGCCTGTGGACCAAGCCAAAAGATCGTGATATCGTCACTGTCTGGGGTAATGAAGGTGTAGGTACCCGTTTGTCGTGCGAAGAGATATCCGCGGTGGTTGAGGGCGATATAATCCGTGTTTCTGGCAGGAGCTCCGTAGAGGGAGTATGAGTAAGTGTCTCCGTTTTCGAAGCCAAGGAACGTAGTGGTTCCCGTGTACCAAGGTTGAACAGTCTTAAAATCTTCCACGTTAAAGGCAGAATACGATGCATCGGTGTTCTCGTAGCGGTGCTCCTGGATGGCGAACTCAAGTCCCTGATTCCCACAGGTCAAGTCAGGAGCAGGATAGATCGTCTCGGTCACCCATGAAGTAGTCGTCGCAGTCTGCGTAGCAGTCGTCAATGTCGTGCTCATCTCCGTAAGGGTAACAACAATGGTGCTATCCGTATACGCGATCAACGTCGGGACGGAAGTGGAGAAATGCGTCGTGGAGGTTGCTGTACGATTCGCCATATCGGTGCGGGTTTCCGTGAGGATAGACCAGGACGTATAGGTCAATCTCTCCACGGCTGCACTGCACATACTCGAAACCGCAGCGGACGAAGTAGCAGCAACAGATTGGAACACCGCTGCCGGAGGCGTACTTCGGGCAGTCTCAGCTGCACGCTTGACAGCCCGGATTTGGGCATTGTAAGTCCAGCTACTGGTAGCCGTTGTCGTAGTCCACGCCGAGGAATACTCCGTAGAAGTGACAACATCCGTCGTCCACGTCGATGTCGTGGTGTTGACTGGAACCGAGACATTGTACGTCACAGTGGAATTAACGGGGACCCAGTGCGTACCCCATTTCGTAACCGTAGCTACGGAAGTGACGGTCGCTGCGCTGGCGACGGTAACGTTACCAAGGTAGGACTGGCAGAGGGAGGTGAACGCACCGCCGTCGGCCTGTCTCATCGCCTGCAAAACAGCCAAACCGTTCGGTACCGGGGTGGCAGCCGGTACTCCTGGCGTGACGATAGTGGTGTTCGTAGAGTCCGTACCATTGTTGCCATACGCGTTGGTGGACGTAGGGGCCGGTACTCCTGGCGTGACGATAGTGGTGTTCGTAGACACCGTACCATTGTTGCCATACGCGTTGGTGGACGTAGGGGCCGGTACTTCCGTCGTCACCACAGTGGTGGTCGTCAAGACAGTCGTGTAGTTTCCAAACGTGCTGGTGAACGTGCGGGTACGCGTGATCGTAGAAAGCTGCGGTGCGGCAACTTTGGTGATCGTTCGAGTGGATGATCCACCAGCGGCAGCCGGAGACTGGGCGTCAGATCCCTGGCCAGTCGTCGAGCCTGATCCTCCGCTGCCTTCAGTCGCGGATGAGGGAGACGTTTGCCCACGGCCAGCTTGAGGGTCAGCTGCAGAACCAGACTCTGCGGATTCAGCATCGGAGTTATTGTCCACGACTCCAGGACCAGAAGGGGAGCCAGACTGGGTTCCGGAGGAAGCAGCAAGTCCAGCGGTAACTCCGTTTAATCCCGATGAGCTGCCATCACTCGCAAACCCACCCCCACCAACACTCTCAGCAGAATAAGCCTCAGCAACCCCAGTAGGATCATTAATCACACCCTCAACAGTCGTACCCGGGAGCTCCATCTCGATCTCGAGGTCGACCATGGGTACCAACACCATGGTTCCCGCGGCGGGAGCAGTGAGCCAGACGGTGGAGATGGAGCCGGGGGCTGTGATGGTGACGGTGGTTGCGCCTTGGCAGGTGTCGTGGGCGGCATTGAGGACGCCAGTGTTAGGGTTGACCGCGGCGACAGGAGCGGCTCCGAAGACAGAGCCAGCAGCGGCGTTGTCGACGTTCGCGGCCTGAACAGCTGCAGCATGGACAGCGGGCACCGAGTCGATGATGGTGGTAAGCACCGTGGATATGGTCGCGGGGTTCGCATCGTTCAAGTGCAATGTCGAGGTGGTGTTCACGTAAGTGCGGTTGACGGCGAGGGCAGAGGTGCTCTCAGCCAGAGCGAGACCCACGAGAAACGAGAGTATGTGCTTGAACATGATACGAGTAGGGACTGACGAAATGAATGTTGTCGTGGCGGCTCCCGAGTATTTGAAAGGGTGTGGTTGTCGAGGATGTTGAGGCGAACGGTCTGATTTGACCAAGCGGAGGGCTGCGACAGCTTTTATGCCCCAGAGGTCGGCAGGGGGATTGAGGTCCCTCTACCCTCCAGAATCAACCCTATTAACCCTCTCATCTCGAATTGCCTCCCTTTCATCCACTACCGGTGGAAAGAGTAGGATGTTTGGTCGAATTCGGGTCCTCGGTGAAAGTCAAGCAGCTATCGAGGTCAGAAAGTTTACGACCTTTCATACAAGCTGAGCTTGGACGCCGAAGTTCAGTCCATGAAATGCTTATATGAAGCGCTTCGCCGAATCCGTTCGCCTACGCTCTCTGCATGTCAAAAAGGCGGTTGGGCCGTCTGCAGTACGGGACGGCAAGTTTGGTAGCGCGCACGCTTGAGCACTCCACTCAGATCTGCCGTGTCTGAATGTACGCCGGGTTCTCGCTCCTTTGACTTAGCGATGTCGAGTCATTTGCAAATGAAAACGCTGGCTGATATAAGCCTTCGCACGGACATTTTAGCGTGTACGGGGAGATTCAAAGACATCTCCAAATGTCCGATTGAGGAGTGCACGGAGTCGACTTTCTCCGCTCCCGTTTCGAGAAGCAGAGATAAGCCCCAAACAACCCGTACGGTACGAGAGTACTTTTTAGAGAGGCGAGTCTTCTGCTCGAGATGTCCATCCAGAGTCCATAAATTAGTTACTCGGAAAGTCCTGCTCGACCGCCAGCACGTCAAGATGCGTATCATGATACAAAGCTCGAGTGAGAGTCTCACGACACTGCCACTAGAAGAGAGCTTCTTAGAAAATTGGTCCATTCAAGACATGCTAAGATATCTCAACGGGTCTCCGTAGCACGACCCTCATGAGGCACATATCTCGAGATGTATCCTCAATCCCCCCCTCCACTCTTCCCGATCTTCCACGCATCCTTCTGTAATCGCTCCAAAAGCTTAACCGTCGGCCTAGTCCACCCGAAAAATACCAACGCTCCAAGCACCGCACACAACGAACTCATCACATAATACCCATCCCTTTCCACAACCACGCTACCCCCTATCTCCCTACACTCATCCTTTCCCAACTGACTCGTCGCCGAATGCGCAATCGCCGTCGGTACACCTCCAACAACGCAAGACGCAACCGTAAAGTAGTCAATACCGCGCAATACGAAGAACCGCGGCCAAGTACCACCGAGATTTGACAGCGTATTGAGCAGCGTCATGTACGTCCCTCCAATCCGCGGATCCGCGATACCGGTGTGGAAAGCGCAGATACTCACCATTTGTACCGTACTCATGAACTGCGTGACAACATGTCCGGCCATCACGGCGAGGAAGTATCCGTACCCGACTCCACCGCTCGGGAACCCGCTCACCACGAGCATCGCCAAGACCGCTGATCCCAAGCGACCGATGAATCCGTACATCCAGGGTTTGAGTGGAGCTGGGCCTTGTGACCATCGCGCGGCGAGGTATCCGAACATAACCTCGAACGGGAAATCGATGAGTGCCGTCAACGCCAAATCCGACGCCGCAAATCCACGCTCGAGGAGTTTGAGGTTCGTCGCGGCTTCGTTGGGTGAGAACGCAAACTTGCTCAGTAGATGAACGACAAGGAGTTGTTGAATATGCGGTAATCGCAGGACCGCCCACATACTCCCATACGCACTAACCACCCCACCCTTCCCCGTCTCATCCTTCCCATCTGGCTCCGGATCCTCCGATTTCCCCCATACGAGCCAAGCCGTGACCAACAAATACACGACCCCCCAAAACGTGAGATACCGACCCAGTGACACGAACCCAGCCGTCCCCGGCACATCCCTCCAGTATTTATTCGCAAGATCCGGCGAATTCAACGCCAAAAAGACGGTAAAACTGGTGAAATATCCAGCCGTCAAACCAACCGTCTGCGCGGTACTCGCATAACTCAAATTCTCTCTACTCAACAACGTCAACGCCCACCCATCCACCGCAATATCCTGTGTCGCACACAAGAAAATCAGGGAAAAGAACGCAGCTGTCAACACCCCCAGCATATTCTCCGCGTCCTCGAGCCAGGATTCGACGCGCGTACCGAGGAGGAGAAGGGTGACGCCGACGAGAGTCTGCATGGGTACGATCCAGGATTTGCGACGGCCGTAGGTGGGGGAGTAGATTGCATCCACGATTGGGGACCAGAAGAGTTTGAGGGAGTAAGGGTACGAGGCGAGCGTAAACAACCCCACTTGCGAATAACTCAGTTTCGACTTTAAGATGAATGGAACGGACCCAAACGCCAATCCAAGCGGAATGCCCTGTAGCAAATCTAATCACAGACTTTCAATCAGTATGCGCGTACAGAAGAGTGAGAGTGAGACATACACAGCGCGACCAATAACGCAATACTCTGCCTATCCCGCTGGCTCAACCGCCCTTTAGTCTTACTCGCCGGTTTCCATCTATCGTCATCTCTCTTGTCCGCGTCTGCGCCAGTAAAGTCATGTAGTGGTAACTCCTCTTCTTTCTCGATCCTTTGTTTCAGGCCGACGTCTCCGCTGTTTGGGGCGATGTTCATCGCGGTGCTTAAGTCTTGCAATTGCTGAAAAGAACGGAACGAACGTCGCGGGACCGTACGTTTATTTGTTTTGGTACACGTTGCTCGTACGCGGGTCGCCGCGGTCGGTCCCTTGGCGTTGCGCGGCCGGGACGTCAAAGTATGATAAAACAAATTGAATCTCATAAGTCCCTATAATCATACACCCGCTTCACTCCAAAACCGCGCGCAACTCCCTCAAACAGCCCTCCGCAAACCCGACCATATTGCCGCTCCTCTCCACGCCCCCCGTCTCAAAGTCCACACTCCTCAACACCTGGCCCCCTGGTCCCACGATTGCCATCGCGCAATACCCCGGTTGACGATTTTTCTTGGGTGCGAGGGAGGAGACGCCGGAGGGGGTTGGACCTGCGGTGCCGGATTCGGCGAGGATGTATGTTGGTGGGGTGGGGAGGGTGAGGCGGAGGTGGGAGGCGAGACGTTCGCAGATTGTAGGGGTTGGGCCGCTGTCGAACGCGTTTCAGTCAGTGGTAGGGTGGAAGGGGAGGGGGAGAGGACGACGTACTCGTAGGTTTTGAGATCGTCTTCTGTCCACCCACCGAATGCGATACGTGACTCAAGCGTATACAACTATCCCAGATCAGCCCCCAGCACCTCGAGCTTACATGGTCGACATACCGTAACCCCACCCTTATAATAGGCACTAGCGCCCGGCACACTCAACAAGGTACTCGAAATCAACCCTCCACACGCCTGTACACATGCAGTCGCATCAGCAGTTGAAGGTCATAAGAGCGGGAAGGCGGATCTGTGTACCGTTTCGACTATGGCGATGGTTTCCTTGCGGGCTTTGAGGATGGATGCGATTTCGGCAGCGAGGGAGGTTAAGGAGGGGGGAGGGAATGTCATGTTGTTGTGTTGGTGATCAATGACATCAGTTGACTTGGTTAAGCTGTAGGGGGTGACACAGGTACAGGGGTATCTTCCCACGGCCCTCCGTGGAAAACGCGGAAGTAGGCGCCGTTTGTATGGTAATCTCCCACTTTGACATTTCCTCCCCGGAAAAGGCGCAACAGGGAGACTGGCAGCCTGGTAGAGTAGACTGGTAGACCAATTGACTTGGTTAAGTTGTAGACTCGTAGAGTAGACACCTCCGTAAACACCACTTCTCTCGTTGGATGACTTTGAATACACAACGCGATGATCCGTCGTCGGCAGCTGGAACTGCTGGAGCTGCTCCCGTCTCTGCCTCTGCCTCTGCCTCTGCCTCTCACCTCCCGGAGCAACGCCTTCGAGTCGCCAAGGCCTGTGAATCCTGTCGTCAGCGTCGAGTCAAATGTTCCGGAGACCGCCCCGCCTGCCAACATTGTCGTACCTACGGCTTTGAGGTATGTCGTGTCGCAATCGCTCACGTCGATGAACCCGCGCTGATCACGGTAACAAACAGTGCAAATACGAACTCAGTCGCAAACGGAACCGAGCTCAAGAGTACGCCGAAGCCCCAGGAGGCCTGCCGACAGTAAGCTAACATGTTTGCACGCAGTGAAAACACCGAACTGCGACAAATCAACACGACCTACCAACAACTCCTTCGCAACATCCTCCCTCACCTCCCGCAAGGTCCCGCTGCTGCGGTGACTGAAGTTCTCCGGAAGGTCAACGCGCTCGAGCCCCCGTCCAATTCGTCCGCTGATAACCCGTTTGATGCGGATGCGGACGAGGTATCGTCGCTACATGATTTGGATGAGATCGAGGAGGACTTCAACACGGTCGACCTCAACCGTCCCGAGGGGTTCATCGGACATGCCACAGACGTCGCATTCGTGCGCTCCATCATCCACAAACTCAACGAAAAACGCACGCAAGACCCCTCCTCAACATCCTACCACCCCGACGTCCACACAACCTTCCACCTCGACGACATAAAACCAGGTCCGGACCCCTCCACCGTCGACACATCCATCCTTCCCTCCCGCCACCTCGCAGATATCTTCCTAGACCGATACTGGGGCTGTGCGCATATCGTTTTCCCATTCCTCGATCGCCGGCAGTTCATGGAGAGGTATGAGACGTTTTGGGATGAACCCACCGCACTACCGGGAGAGGTCGATACCTTCCGCGCCTTGGTTAATATCGTGTTGGCGATTGGCGCGTATCACGTTTGGAGGTCGGGGCCGATGGGGGAGGGGGTGCCCAGAGTAGGGGGGGTGGATGAGGGACCGAAGGTTCATGAAGAGTTGTATGCGCGGGCGCAGCTTTGTGCTGGGGATTTGGAGGAGGTGCGCGGGTTGATGCATATCCAGTACGTCCTTCTGTGTGCTTTGTACTTGACCGGGATGGACCGTCCCAATCGCGCTTGGAACACGATCGGGCTCGCTGTCCGTCTCGCGTACGGCATCGGACTCAATCTGAAGAATGAGGCGATGAAAGGGGTGACGGAAGTGCAGAAAGAAACGAGGAATAGGACGTGGTGGTCGATTTACTGTCTCGAGCTGGAGTTGTCGCATATGTTGTCTCGACCACCTTGTATCTCCGACGCTGACGTCTTCGCTACCCTCCCCCGCGAGATTGACGAGTATCTTCACGAAGACGGTAACATCGGGGAACAGCCATCTGGTCAGATGAGTTATGTCTCCTTCTTGTTGTGCGAGACGCGGTATGTCCGTATGGTAACCAACGCGACCCGGAAGTTGTACTCGGTTCAGGCATCACATATGCCGTGGAATATCATCCAGCAAAACATCATGGACGCCGAACGCGAGATGAAACAATGGAAATTCTCACTCCCCGATATCCTCAAATTCGACGTCCCAGGCTCCTCAACCGCCTACGGCGCCGGCCGTAGCCAGTCCCACTCTTCCCACGACATCCCCCGCCGCAGCCGTCCCGACATCGAAACTGCCATGTTGAGATTCTACTCACCGACCTTCAAACGCCTCCGATATGTGTTGGAACTCCAATACCATAATGCCAGGATTTGGGTCATGCGGGTTTGCCTCTCTGCGTGTTCACCACGATCTGGAAAGACGCATTCTCAGGATCCACGGTTCGATGTTGACGCGTACGCTGTGCGGGCGTGTATCGATTCTGCGATCGCTACTATTTCGGCGATCGAGTCGCATCATGCTGCGGCGTTTGCGGAGGGTGGGGCGGGTGGTGTGATTCCTGAACGCGAGGCGGAGAGTGCGGCGAGTCTTGTTATGACGAGTTCGGCATGGTGGGTAATCTGTTTCTACATCATGTCCGCAGCAATCGTCCTCGTGGCCGCGCTCGTCCTCGACCCGGACCGCGAACGGAAAGAGGAGCTGGAGGCGTGTTTGGAGAAGTGTATCAGGCTGTATGCACGGATCGGACGGACGCAGGAGAGTGCGAGGAGGTGTTTGATGATTGTGCTGGATCTTAGGAGGGCGATTGCGGAGGGGGGGTTGAGGGAGGGAGTGAGCGCGGATGCATTGGCGGTGAGGGCGAGGGAGAATGAGAGGGATGAGGGACCGGAAGGCGGCACGGGGGGGTTTGCGCGACCGGCTTCGCCGGCGAGGAGTAAGAAGGTGCAGAGGAGTGACCTGGGGAGTGTCGAACAACCAACCTGGCCTTCCCGTACACCATACGGCACCGCCGCTGGGCACGAGCATGGACGAAGCGACCCGAACTTGTCCTCGTCCCACTCCAACGTCTACTCCGAACCGCGTCCGGGCATGCCTTCACATGGGATCGACTCCTCTGCCTCCGCAACCACCGCCTCAGCACCCATCACGCCGCGATACACCCCCTCCCAACGTTCAAATCCATTCCAACTGGATTCAAACCTTCTTACCACCGCCGGCGCCGCCGGCACCAGCACGCCCGCATTTCCGGGCCACCACCACCTGCCCCCACCGATTGCCCAAGTGCCATTGAGTCCAGGCCGGATCCAACCAAGCCTCATCCCGACTCTGCCTCCATACTCGAGTATTCACCATCGCGGCGCTCCCATGGCGAGTCCCCACCTAGGAGGAAGGGGAGGAGGCGCTCTGCAGCGCGTGGTGCCGGATGTGTTGCAGTCACCCACGAGCCCCGGCTTCGATCCCGGATATGGACATGGGGGGCTATCGTGGCAGGCGGCGGGGTCTGGGATGTATCCTGGGACGTATCCGTTTCAAAATCAGAACCCGTACGCACCAGCACCATATCCCACCACCAGTCAGGGGTACGGGCCTCAGGGGATGAATATGGGCATGGGCATGGGCATGGGAATGGGTAACCCGGCCTGGACCGGCCAAGTGCAGTGGGCGCCCCCGGCACCCTCCTCCCATGGCATGGGTCAAAACCAACACTCCCAGTCTCCCGTACCATCTCAATCCCAAGCCTTCGCGAACCTAAACGTCAACCTTAACCTCACTCCCACCATGTCAGTTGCTGGACAGAGTAGTCCAGGAGAGGGGGTATCGGTGCAGGGAACGGAGAGTATGGGGAGTAAGACGAGTGGTGGTACGACGATGAGTAGTACCAGTGCGACGATGATGCAGAGCGCGGGGAGTGCTGAAACGATTCGACCGAGTGCGACTGCGAGGCGGGAGGATCGGGGGCGTGGAAGTGGAAGTGGGTGGAGGCCCGGACACGGGCACGGGCGTGGGGGGTCGATGTGACGTCAACGTGGATCCGGAGTTTAAGGTGATCACCGCATGGTTGAAGCTGGTTAGGAATCGGTCATTACAGGAAGTCGTCGTTCACGTTCGGGGCGGAAAGTACAGTCGGGGTTTGGGCAAGCACGATCATGATACACGGATGAGCTGGTGCTTGGAGTTCCGGATTCACTTCAACACTCATTTATGATTATACATGTCTCGAATACCATTCCATTTTGAATCGTTCGTTGAGCTTCCAGAGTTGACCGCCCCGTTGGGTACGTCGTCGGGTTCCTGCCGGCGCCCGCAGCTGTCGGTGGGTCGCGGAAGCGTGCGAATCCAGTCATCAACGCAACCTCGAAGCCCTATTACTGGTACCTCGCCAGGCCATGCCATGGCCCGTCCGTTTTGGGCGCTACTAACCCTCTTGTGGAAACGATCGGCGGATGCGGAGACGGGCCATGCCCTCAAGGCGGGCCTTACCAAGATGCAGCCCCGTTTTGACGTTCTTTTGGTGCCCAATCCGGTAATTTAGCCCTGCCCAGGCGCGCGGCGTACGTTGAGGGTGAGTAGGCTAGAACAGGACAAGAGCCAGAACAGTAGTATTGGGTTAGGGTTAGGGTCAGGGCCAGGGCCAGGGCCAGGGCCAGGGTTAGGGCCAGGGCCAGGGCCAGGGCCAGGGCCAGGGCCAGGGTTAGGGCCAGGGTTAGGGTTAGGGTTAGGGTTAGGGTTAGGGTTAGGGTTAGGGTTAGGGTTAGGGTTAGGGTTAGGGTTAGGGTTAGGGTTAGGGTTAGGGTTAGGGTTAGGGTTAGGGTTAGGGT